TGAATCAGAACATGATACAACGATTTCTCTCATCTCTAACAATGTCGATTCCATCCAATCATCAGAAGAAACTCAAACTGAGTTTTCATTAGTTTCAAAAACAAGATGCCAAAGAAGAAAGAAGAAAGCAAATTAAATGTTTCAGAAAAGGCTAAATATAAAGAAGTTGAAAGTCCAGATTCAGTTGATAGTCACAGACAATTCAACAGCAGTGTTGATTCGTCATCAGAAACAGCATCATCAGTCTCACAAAGTGTTAGCAAACATATGCAATCAAACAGTGAATCAGTTGTTTCAAGTGACGAGGTAAATACAGATTTGTCTAATAAACAAGCAGCTAAATCAGAATCAACAATTCAGAACTTGTTAACGAATGATTATATATCAGATAAGTCTGAGATTGAATCTGTTCCTGAATCAGAACAAACAATTTCTCTAATTTCTAATAACATTGTTTCTATTCAATCTTCAGATGAAACAGAGTCTGAGTTTTCATTAGTTTCAGAAAACAAGATGCCAAAGAGAAAGAAGAAAGCAAATCAAATGTTTCAGAAAAGGCTAAATATAAAGAAGTTGAAAGTCCAGATTCAGTTGATAGTCATAGACAATTCAACAGCAGTGTTGATACATCATCAGAAACAGCATCAAGTGTTTCACAAAGTACTAGTAAACACATGCAAGAAAATTCTAATGATTCAGATTCTTCAATTCCACAGAAGCGCGATATTAAGTCCACTAAATCGGAATCATCACATGTTGATGACATTCGAACAGTTAAATCATCATCTTCATCAAAGTCATCCACAGTTTCAGAACAATCCGCAGATTCTATTGCATCACTGCAATCTATTGTTGAAAGTTCAGATTATATCGACACCTCAGATCTTCCCGAATCAACAATTGATTCACTTGTCTCTGATGCAAGTCAAAGAAAAGATAATGAATCCAAAGATTCATCTAATGAAAAATCAAAGAAAGTGAACAAAGAGATTGAAAATCCAAAATCATTCAGTAGATCAAGGAAGTATATTGACAGTGTTAACAGTACAAGTGAAACCGCATCATCTGTTTCACAAAGTCAAAGAAAACACATGCAATCTAACGATGAATCAATTGTTTCAAGTGAAGAAGTCAAAAGAGATTTATCCAATAAAAACGCTGGAAAGTCAGAATCAACAATTCAAAATTCAATCATGAGTAAAAGTAGATCAAGTATCTCAAGCAGTGATTATGTATCTGAATCAGAACATGATACAACGATTTCTCTCATCTCTAACAATGTCGATTCCATCCAATCATCAGAAGAAACTCAAACTGAGTTTTCATTAGTTTCAGAAAACAAGATGCCAAAGAAGAAAGAAGAAAGCAAATCAAATGTTTCAGAAAAGGCTAAATATAAAGAAGTTGAAAGTCCAGATTCAGTTGATAGTCACAGACAATTCAACAGCAGTGTTGATTCGTCATCAGAAACAGCATCATCAGTCTCACAAAGTGTTAGCAAACATATGCAATCAAACAGTGAATCAGTTGTTTCAAGTGACGAGGTAAATACAGATTTGTCTAATAAACAAGCAGCTAAATCAGAATCAACAATTCAGAACTTGTTAACGAATGATTATATATCAGATAAGTCTGAGATTGAATCTGTTCCTGAATCAGAACAAACAATTTCTCTAATTTCTAATAACATTGTTTCTATTCAATCTTCAGATGAAACAGAGTCTGAGTTTTCATTAGTTTCAGAAAACAAGATGCCAAAGAAGAAAGAAGAAAGCAAATCAAATGTTTCAGAAAAGGCTAAATATAAAGAAGTTGAAAGTCCAGATTCAGTTGATAGTCATAGACAATTCAACAGCAGTGTTGATACATCATCAGAAACAGCATCAAGTGTTTCACAAAGTACTAGTAAACACATGCAAGAAAATTCTAATGATTCAGATTCTTCAATTCCACAGAAGCGTGATATTAAGTCCACTAAATCCGAATCATCACATGTTGTTGATATCATAACAGTCAAATCATCATCTTCTGATTCATCAACCGTTTCAGAGAAATCTGCCGAATCTCTCATTTCTCTTCAATCAAGAAATAATGAATCATCAATTGATACATCAGATTTACCTGAATCAACAATTGATTCACTTGTTTCTGATGCAGTAGAAAACATTGAACAAACTGAAACTACAGAAAACGACCAACCAAAGAAGAACAATAAACAAGCTGATATTCCTTCATCAGTAAGTCAGTCAAGAAAATATATTGACAGTGTTAATAGTTCAACAGAAACAGTTTCATCAATCAGCAACAGTGTAAGTAATCATTCAATGGCTGATGAAATTTCCGATTCTTCATCCGAACAACAACAAATATCAAGGAATATTTCAACAACCTCTGAATCAGAAATTCCTTCAACACTTGAAAGTGATTTAGATGCATTCAAGAAATCGAAATCATCAAAACAGCCATCATCAAGTACATCACATTCTTATGTTCTCAGCAGTGAAATATCAATGCAAAGTAATGCAATTGAAGATGATTCAGAATCAGGAAGTAGCGAAATCAGTGAATTAAGATCACTTGAAAGTGAAGAAGTTGCTCAATCTCCTCAGAAACAAAGCAAAGAAATTGAAGACAAACCAAACAAGAAACGCGAAAAAGAGAATACAATGAAATCTATTGAATCAAGCAGAGAATTTGTATCCAATTTAAGTTCCCCATCAATTTCTGAAAGTGATATCAGTGAATCAAGAAGTAAACATCAGAAATCAAATAAAATTACTGATTCTTACATTAGTAATCAAAAGAAATCGCGTTCAATTCAACAACCATCAGAAAGTCTCAGTATTGAAATCATTACTGATCCAAAAGAAGAAAGATCATATTCTTTGTTTGATTCTGCTGATGATAAAACCAAATCATCATCACTTGCTTCTGATTTGGCTACTGTTACAACAACATCAACAGGAGAATTGGAATCATTAGTAAGTGATGACAAGAGAATCATCAAACAAAATCAACAACAAAATTCAAGCGAAACTGAACAAATTAAACATAAAAATGTTTCGGCACCAACTTCGAAACTTTCTGAAAGATACCATCTTTCTAGTTTATCTTCTGAATCAGAAACAGTTAGTAGTATGAGCAATGATTACAGTAAACACATGCAATCAAATGATGAATCAGAATCATCTTCATCAGAACTGAAACAAAAACCGAAATCTGAAAAATCAATCAGTTATTCTTTCTCAATAAAGACTGAAGGAAAACAACCAGAAACAAATGAAACAAATACATATTCAGACACTAATACACAAACTGTTTCTATTCAGTCCCAACAGAACACATTTACAACAACAGAATCTGATGTTTTGTCATTGGAATCTCAAGATAAAATGTTGTCAAAACAAAAATCAATGAAATCAGAAATGACTGAAAAGCAGAAATACAAGAACAAAGAAGCACCAAAGTCAGAATCAAAAGAGTTTGTTCCACAAGAATCAATGTCATCAACTAATGATACTGTTTCTGATACTTCTGTTTCATTGTCAAAACACGGAGCAAGTAATATTATTTCAGAAGAAACTACAAAATCAGATGAAGTTAAACAACGAAATATCAAGACTTCTGAAAGTTCTGATATCAAAGAAATTGAAACAGATAGAAATGTTACGAGTACAGATACAGTTCCAACATACTCTGATACAAATATTTCTTTGGGAACAGAAGGATTAGTTTCAAATTCGAATGATAATGATTCATCAGAATTAGAATCTCTTTCTTCAATCCAATATAACAATCTCCAACCAGTTGATATTGAAGAGATATCCAATAAAGAAGAACACAAGAACAGAGCTGAACCATCATCAGAATCAAGAGCAAGATCAAATATGAATGAATCTTTATCTTCATCTTATGAATCCAATTCTTCGATCTCTGAATCAAAATCGAATCATGAACAATCGAATAATGAAACATCTTCTACAAGTTCAACATCAAGTTCAAAGAAGAGGATCAAACACAGATCGAAGTCTTCTAAATCATCACAAAGCATTGATATAAAGTCAGAAGAAAATTCATATTATTCTCTTTCTTCACAACTTTCTTCTGGATCTTTTATTTCATTGCAAACCAAAGGAGAAGAAAGTTCAAATACAAATCAAAAGACCGAGTCTCTTTCTTCAATCAAAAGTGATGTTTCTTCAAGAAAGAAGAAGAGAAAAGTAAAGAAATCAACACAATCAGAACAAAGTATCCAAAAAGTCAAAGCGGAGCCAAGTTCTGTTTCAGCTGTTCAATCAGTCAACAGCTATGAGCCAACAGAAACAGTTACAGAATCATCCATTTCAACAAGTTCTTCATCCCATAATGCTCCAAATGAAGGAGATTCTTCAAGTCAAAGTTCAAGGAGAGTTAAATCAGAAGTGTCGAAGTCGAGTTCTTCAATTAATGAGCCAATTAAATCAATTCATCAATCAGTGGAAGAACCAACAGAATATTCAAATATCCCTGATTTAGACACATCACAAATGTCTATTCAGACATATTCATCACAATGGACAGAGCCATCATTATTGAGTACTCGATCGAGGAAACGCTTGCAGAAAAGCGAATCCTCATCTTCGACATCTTCTGTTAATGAAGATATCTCCATTCTATCGAAGAGTTATGCAGTTGTTGATGACTTCTCCGTTGTTTCAGACAACGAAGAACAACCTCTCGCATCAGTTTTCTCTGACAGTGACTTTTCTGATTCTGAAAATGAAGTTTCTGAATCAGGAACAGTTTCTACTGAATTAAATTCTAAGAGAGAAGAATCTCCTGACACAGAAGAATACTTCTCTTCCACAGCGGAATCATTACTGAGCGAGAAACATCATCAAGCACCTGAAATCCAACAAAACAATGATTTGTTTGCTTCTTCTTCCCCTTCAACAACAGATCAAGTTCCAAAACAAAAGTCAGAGAAAGAAAAGGAGCATATCATGAACTATAATGAAGCAATGGCTGATGTAACAAGTGATATCTCAATTGGATCATCACTTAAACAAACTGTTTCTTCATCTTCAACAACAGAAAAAGAAGATTCTGATGTCAAAGAAAGAGAAGAAATAGAATCAGTTGTTTCTTCATCGGAATCAAACGTTTTGAATACAGTTCAAAGTGAAAAACCATCAACAGCATCACAAACAGCTTCAGTATCATTGGAAACAATGGTAAGTTCTCAAAATGTTTATAGTACTGTTGGTCCGAATAACACTGTTGATTTGGCTTCGAATTTCATTGATAATTCTTATTCCGAAAAATCTGCTTCGAACATTGATTCAGAAAAATCTTTGCAAACGAATTTAGAATCACAGCAAATTATAACAAGAACATCTTCATCAGGAATGGATTTACCACCAGAATCATTGCATTCTGATGTTGCTGTGAAAGCAGACAAACAGTTTGACAGTGCAAAGTTTGATTCATCATTGACTCCTCTTGAAGAAAGCGTCATAACTCCAGCACCTCCTTTAGTTGATGAAAGCGAAGTTTCATTTGATCACGAGGAGTTTTCAAGAAGATACCATCAACAAGAAGAGAAAATTGACTCAGATATTCCTGTTTCCACAGCAACAACAACAGAGAGTTCTGAGTCAACAATCAGTAGACCTTCATCTCAAGAAACAACAGATTCATCATCAATTAAAACAAAGAGTAAATCTGTTTTACCATCAACGACTTCAGAAGAAGAAGAATCAACTCAATCTATATCTTACATTTATTCCCTTGAAAGTAAGAACTTTTCAGAAGAAGAGAACATCAAATCTTCTGATAATGGTTATTATTCTTGGGAACAAGTTGAAATCAATTCTCCTTCTGTTGATGAAGAAACATCTAAAGAAATAAACACGAAAACTAATGATTACAACACAGAAACAGATTCGACAACAATCACACCAGAAAAGATTGTTTTCGATGATATTGAAGATACAATTGATAGAACATCTCTCAACTCTAAGCCAATGAAATTACCGAAACCTCCAAAGAGAGAAATCGAAGCAATGGAAATGAATGAATTTGAGAGGCAATTCAGGAAGGAAGAACCTCAAAGTCCATCGGCAAAACAATATAATTCATCCTATGTTCAATCTATTTCATCAAGTAGCTCTTCTAAACATCATGGAAAGAAGAGAAAACGATCAGTTGATTCAACTGTTTCGGACATTTTTGATCAAGAAAATTCAGCAAGTTACAGTGGAATATCTTATGAGAAATCGACGACGAAGTCGAATTCTTCAAGCGCAAAAATTGCTTCAGAAGACTCTTCTAAATCAGGTTCATCAAGTAAAATCTCAGAACATCCTTATTATTCATTATCTACATCAGAATCAAAAGAAAGCACAAAATCTGGTTCGGAACAAAATTATTATTCAGAACAAAGAGATGACTCTAGATCTGGTTCATATAATAATGGTTCAGAATCGAATTATTATTCACTGTCATCAACTGCTTCTTCATCATTGTCAATGAGAACAAAGAGTGATTCGAAGAAAGATTTTTCATCTGTTACAGGAACAAGTGAAATTTCAAATCTTTCTACTCCATCTATTTCAGATTCTTCATCAAATGTAGCATCATCTACAACATCCAATACATCCTCATCATCAGTAGTACCTCTTAGAAAGAAGAAACCAAAACAAAACACACCTCCACAATCTCCAAGAAGACGCAAAAGAAAACAAAACTCGGATGGTTCAGAAACATCGAAATCAACATCCATTGGTCCGTCACTAAGAAGTCTCGATATCTCATCATCCGATTAATATTGTATTTTTTATATTTTTTTGTTTATATATGTATAAAATTTAAATAATATTTTGTATTTAATTATATAAGAGTCTTTTTAGCCAATACTTCAAAAATTTGACATTTGTATATCAATAGAATACACTTGTTTGATTCCATTAAGATAATATTTTTAAATTTTTGAAAATCTAACTTAATATGGTGATTTCAATTGATAATTTTAATCATATAGTTGAAGGAACTGCTAATTTATCTTATGAGAATATCTGAATTCTCTATAAAACCAAAATTACAATATAATTTATTTTAATATTTTTGTATTTTCCATAGAAATATGATGAGATATATTTGTTGGTACATAAAAAATGATTAATGTAATTGTTCGATCTCAAATTATAAATAATATATTTAATAATATTTGTTTCATCTAAATAAAATAGTAAAAATAACAATATAAGTTCCAAATAGGATGTTAGTATTATCTGTAAAGCATTGAAAGAAGGTCTTTCTGCATATGTAAAGAAGATAAAGCGTTTGCAGCAACGATAACGTATTGATTCGGAGGATTTAATCCTGGTGTTCCCAAGAATATAGATATTTCGCGAGTAATTGCGTTGTAAACAGAAGTACTTTGAGATGTTGTTGGAATTATGAAGTTTCCGTTCTTATCAACAGTTCCATCGTGCTGTAATGTCGTAACATTATCCGGCTGGATGTTGAAAATGTCCCAATGGGATTTTTCAATATCATAAACGTAAATTGGGGCGAATTGGCTGTCTCCCTGTGTATCATCGCGCGTCTCTCCTCCTATCAACAGCAAATAGTTGTCAAACGGAACTAGAGTAGCGTTCGTAACTGTAGATGGAGGACATGTTCCGGAAACCTTTTGGATGTATCCATCGTTTGGCTGGAAATCAAACACTAAGAAACCTGGTGTTTGCGATGCGCCATATATGTAAAGCTTATTATCGATCATTGCTGAGCATGCGCCAGATCTTCCAACATTTAAGTTAACTTGGGTCCAATGGAGGGATTCGACATCGAGAATATACATATCGGAAAGGACAGTGACATCTGATCCGCTGTATACAATGATTTTTCCTTTGTTGTATGCCATGATATGATTAGTTCTTGCTGTAGGAGCATCTCCGGTAGTTTGTGGACGAGTTACAGCACCTGTTTGAAGATTAACAACATGAAGATCGTTTAGGAATGCTGTTTCGGTAGTTCCTCCAAAAATCCAAAGATCAATGCCAATAAGAACTGCTCGCGCTCCAGTTCTAGGTTGCAAATCGGCATCTTGGACATTAATTTGAGTCCATTTATTGCTGTTTAAATCTAAATACCAAAAATCGTTGAGAAGTTGTTCTGTTGGAGTATTTCCGTAACAGACAACAACATAGTTAAATTGGGGACCAAATACAGAGCAGTGTCCTGTACGCGGTGATGGTGTTAAAGAGTCGAAGTTACGAATGCACCAGACACCGGCATTTTTCCTAACTGCCTGTTGGATCGAAATCGTATTTTTCTTGCTAGTTCGAATGGATTGATAGCCTGGTGGGCGCTTTGGCATAGCATAATGCGCTTGGTATGCCTGAATATCTTCGCTTGTGAATGCACCCATTTCAATAATTTTGTAAATTACAACTATTCAATTTTATTGAAAAATTTACGTTGTAAGCTTTTCAAAGTTATGATTGGGTTCAATTATTTATCCATCAAAACATTGTTTTCAAATTGCCCGATCAATGCGGCATTTTAATTTTATGAATTGAATTTTCTATAAAAATTTGTTAACTCATCAAATTTGGGAAAACTCAGGTTTCATTGCGATTCTGAATGGCAAAAAAATATCAATAAAATTTGATTGAATGATGACAATTCAGATAAAATCAGAACTGAAATTGAAAAATGGGATTTTGGATTAGGATTATGATTATCTAAATATTAAATGATAAAATTCTGTTTTGAATACTTTACAGGGAAAATTTTATAAATCTAAAGTCTTTTGGAAAATTTCGTGTTAGGTCTGTGGTTTCATTCAAACGATTAAGATATAAAAAGGAAAATAGATTGGTTTTGAGGTCAATTGTCCTTTAATTCTTCAAAATCAATCAATCGAGATTTTTATTCGCGCCTAAATGAACTTTTTATACCCTATGTTTTAACTATTTAGAATATCAAGTATGTTCTAAGGGCATCATGCAAATATATAGGCGTAATCAACATATCATTCATGAGAATATTTTTGATATCGCTTACCATCATTAGATAGTTGAGATAGAGATACAACTACTAAGCTATTTTCACTGTGATGTATTCAAAACCGAACAAAATGTTTAGAGAATTGGCTCAGAATAATAAGGCATATTTTCTGAGATTCGAAAAGTGACAAGGTGGGTGAGATGAGTGACTTCGCCTTCAGAACTAAAAAGGATAAGAAGCTTAAAGAATCAGATTTATTGGCGCTTAATCCTTACTCTCTATGGAGGCATTCATTACACTCTGTGATTAATGTCAGACCTGAAATTTTTGATACAAACGCTACTCGAACTGACATATCAGTTGGAATAGTTGCTGTATCTTTATATCATCTCGAGAGAAACATGCGATGGTCTGGTCTAGAGCTCTCATCTCGCCACTACTGCTGGACTGATATGAAGAATAGAGATCCGGCATCAATATCTGATATTGTATCATATCAAATATGTCATAATCTCGTACAATTTGCACAAGAAAGTGTATTAAGACTATCAGATCCTTCTCCAACTCGAATTCTTACTCAACTTAAGGAGTTATCTCACATTCCTCACAACAAACGATGTTTATTCATATACAATGGTCATGGTGCCCCTGAACCGATATCAGCATCTGGAATTATGCTGTCACCAGATGAATCTCTTGGGGGAGATCAAATTACAGCAAGACAATTGATTACATCAATGCCATTACCATCGTGCTTCATCTTTGATGCAGATTTTTCCGGTTTACTTTTTGATGATTTTTCAGATCCTACGATACAAAGCGACAGATTTGGTTTCTTTTCATGCGGTCCGAAAGAAAATCTACCACATCGAATAGGTTTGCCGTCAGATCTCTTTACTTCCTGTTTATTAACCCCTGCTTTTGTTGCTATGCTTTGGGGATCAAGACAGTTCTACGCTTTTACGTCAGGTGGATTACACGAATTCCCTTTAAGCTATTTCAGCGATGAAAACGGTGTCAGACCTCATTTACACTCATTTGCTTACGAAATTGAACGATTACTTACTACTTTGGTGCATGCAATGGCATATTCGATGATTCCTGCCGACATGCTATACAACTGTTTCTTCAGAGACGCGAAAGTCGGAAAATTATTTGTAAATTTCTGTCTTGCCAGAAGAATTGGAGCCGAAATTGGCTTCAAACCCATGTGTTATCCGGCAATACCCGACTTTTCACAGCACATTCTTTGGGAATACTTCGATTTGTACTTGGATCGCGTTTTATTACGATTAACTCAAATGGACAGCAACATTTCAGTTCCTCAAGCCACCATTTCAGGTGATTTCTCATCATTCCTTGCAGATGCTCTAACAGCAATCGAACATATCCTAGATATCAGAGTTTTCGAGACGATTCCAAACGAAATTTCCCTTTTACCACTTATTCTATCCGATCCATCGCTTGCCAAAGCGGGAATCAAAGCGGTTACTCGTTTCATTGACATTGGCGAAGAAACAATTCGAAATGTGATTTGTTCTGGCATGATGCCGATCATGATTTCGATGCCGTACAACATGGACAACGACCTCTTACTCCCTGTCGCATATTGCCTCGCTAAAATGCAGTCGTACGCGTTGACAACAGACTCAATCATCAGAAATTTCACGAAATCAACTTTACAAATCCGAAATCCTTTGTTTGAGACATATAAAACAATAAAGGATGAGCGGTATTTGTTGATTGCGTTAGTCCTGATGACAGTCGGAATGCATATGGAGTACGGAGACAATGCAAACGACATAGAACCTGAAATCTTTAAGATATTAGTTGACGCGATATCATCTAGTTCGATGGTTGTTGCTTATTGGGCTATTCTATATCTATCTGAGTTCTTACAACTTGTTCCTGAGCCAAGAAACATAATGGAAGAATTCAGAATTTTGGAAAAAATTCAAAATTTACAAAAAAGTGACAACCCAGAAATCCGTGCTGTTTGTATTGCTATACAGATATCCGGCATTGACTTTGAGAGTGAAATACCAGAATATGTTGAAAGTGTCTTCGAAAGATTGAGTAATGATGCGATGAATGATCCATCAATAATTGTTCGAACAGAAATATTAATTTTGTTACAAAGATTTTTGGAAAGTGAAAATTGTTTCACGGAAGAATATTCTAAATCTCTTCAACTTTGTAACAAATACTTAAAGATATTAATCAATGATCCGCACCAAGAAATCTGTGACCTTGCAACTGCTCTCCTTTCAACAGTCAACTCAAAAATTCAAGCTCCAACTGGATTTTCCACTTCACTTTTGATTGGCTCGATACATTCATTTTTAGCCAGTCAGTTTAGTAAATTCGAGAACTACACTATGCCTCCATTCTGTCTTCAGTCAACGCGCATTGCGAAGAGAGAACGAGAAGACATAATTTCAGCTCCTTTGATCGATAAAGCTTCATCTGAATACAATTTCATTGAAGTCGATCATTACAAACACCACAAACAGATTGTTACGAAACCTTTCTTCTTAAGTAACAAAGTTATATGTGGAGATATTGAAGGAAACATTCTTGTTAGAAATACAACAAGTCATGAAATAGAATTCGAATTTCCTTGGCAATATTTCTTTTCAAGAGCGATTTCTCCTAAAAATCTCAAGGATTTTCTGCCGATGTCTGAATCAAGCGTGATGCTGACAACAAGTAGAGGTGATGTATCATTTGTTAATAATATAACATTGCCTATTCCGAAAGTTATTGATTCGTTTTCGATTTTACAAAACGAAAGTCAAAAAAATCAAAAAGATTTGTTTTGTTCTTATAAGTTTTCTCATTACGAGATGAATCTTTTCTGTAGTTGCTCAAAGGGAATATTAAGGAGATGGGATATATCTAGTTGCAACTTCTTGAATGACTTAAATGTCTGTGATTCTTGTATAAATAACATTTGTTTGAACAGAAATTCATCAAAATCTGTTCTTATCGCGTCTGACGATTTTAGAGTTATAGATTTGAGGCAAAACAATAGTAGTTCTATTGTTATTAATACTCCATCGAAAGTAACATGTATTCACCAGTCATTGCACTCTGCAGAAGAGTTTTTCGTTGTTTTGGGAAATGGAAATGTCATGGATTTTGATATAAGATTCCCACAAACAATGAAACAGATGAATATTGAAAATGCTGTTGGAATAGAATCCCTTGCTTGGGCTCCTTTAGTTATTGCGCATACTAAAGGTATTGAAGCATTGGATTTAAGAAAGAGATCTTTCAACATTTTGAACGCTGCTTTTCCAAATGTCAAAATTGATAGAGTTGATTACGTCAAAGCTTGCAAGAAAATGAATGTCATCGAGGCTATTTTTAATGGCGCGGTGATGTCAACTATCCAAATTAATTAAAATTATATATTATGTTTGTTATTGTTAATCTAAATATTTACTATGTTATTGTTTATTTACTATGTTATTGTTTATTTACTATGTTATTGTTTATTTACTATGTTATTGTTTATTTACTATGTTATTGTTTATTTACTATGTTATTGTTTATTTACTATGTTATTGTTTATTTACTATGTTATTGTTTATTTATTATGTTATTGTTTATTTACTATGTTATTGTTTATTTATTATGTTATTGTTTATTTACTATGTTATTGTTTATTTACTATGTTATTGTTTATTTACTATGTTATTGTTTATTTACTATGTTATTGTTTATTTTATTCCTGATTTTATTAATCAGTCGTAGATTAATAAAAAATCTAGCGTACACAGAGATTTGTTGACATATAAGAGCCACTCATGTAAACTTTTGTTATATTGGACTAGAGAACTTTAATATTTTTTATGATTTAATAATAATGTATTGTTAAACAAGCTACGCGTACTCCGTGTTATCGTTTTCCGCCCACAATTACCAAGTCTTTGCCAATTATTCTCTACAGTCAATCGACCAGATCAAGTTCAACATTGGCCTCGAAACAACAGTCAACCGCGCCCGTCCAGAGCCATTCGAGATCAAGTTGTTCTATTGCTCCAACACATCACTTATCATCCAGCTTACAATCCTTTCCCAGCTCGCTGGCTTCTCCCGCTCCATCTACTTCCACCGGCCAGAGTCACTTGCCACACAAATCTTCGGTGTCTGGCGTTCCCAAAACGGAATGTCCATTGACTACTACTTGAAAGCACCACAGTCAATCCGGCAAACAATCCACGACCCACTTCATACAATTATTTACACCATTTTCTCTCTTTCATCCGGCTTCATCTCATAATACTACCTTAGATTCTCCAACCAGGCACCAGCTGTTAAATGTTTGTATTTTTGGTATTTTCAGTATTTTGCATTTAACAATTGAATTTCATAAGTTAGGCATTTACTATCAATTACTATACTTATACGTAAAAATCGTTTTATGTATAAAATCTAATGGGAAATTATGCTTATTCGAAATTATCAGAAAATAAAAAATATTATCTTATGTAAGAGCATTATATTATTGTGCCATGTGAAATAAGAAGTTTGGCCATTCCTTTTCTTTTAATTCCTGTTGCATAATGAAGAGCTGTTTTTCCAAATTTATCTTTTTCATTGATACTTATACCATGTGAAATAAGAAGTTCTGCCATTTCTTTATTATTATTTCCTGCTGCATAATGAAGAGCTGTTTTTCCATCATTATCTTTTTCATTGATACTTATACCATGTGAAATAAGAAGTTCTGCCATTTCTTTATTATTATTTCCTGCTGCAATATAAAGAGCTGTTTTTCCATCATTATCTTTTTCATTGATATTTATACCATGTGAAATAAGAAGTTCGGTTATTTCTTTATTATTATTTCCTACTGCATAATGAAGAGCTGTTTTTCCAAATTTATCTTTTTCATTGATATTAATACCATGTGAAATAAGAAGTTCGGTTATTTCTTTACTATTATTTCCTACTGCATAATGAAGAGAAGTTTCTTTATTTTGAACTTTTTCATTGATATTTGCACCATGTGAAAGGAAAAATTCACAAAGGGATGGTATATCAAACATTACTGAATAAACAAAGCATTTGGTAATATCATTAGTTTGACCGAAATAATCTAAAAATGCATCAAGATTACAATACCATATACAATTTTCTAAATCGATCGTTATATCGTATTCTTTCATCAAGAATGTAACAAAATCAATGTTGTGTGAAATAATTGCATATTTCATGCATTCATTATCTGGTTGTTGATATTTCAAGCATTCACTCATGATCTCTGGATTTCCGCTTAAAAATGATAAATTGAGACATGTTTGAGTTATTTCTGAGTTAAATTTAGATCTTAAAAACTTGAAACAATCAACAGCTCCATGATAGCAGCATAACTCAAGTAATGAATATCTTCCAGAATATAAATTGCTGCCAATTTTTTGATCTTTATCAAATCCATCTAGTTCTGTGAACGCAATGAATCTTTCTAAGTCATTATACATAATTGCTCTGTAAATTGTATCTTCTTTATGGATATCGAGATTTTCTGATTTAAAATTTTCGAAATCAAGAGATTTGTCTAACTTAATTCCATATTCTTTATAAAGCAGGAAATTTGCAAAGAATGGAATATTGCTGAACTCTTGAACATGATAATCATCATAAATGAGTTTGACAAGAAATAAATATGATTTTGTATAGCGATTATTAGCATAAAACATATTTCCAATGTCTTCAATAATCTTTTTGGGTGGGCATTTCATTGAATCAATCAATTCTGTTTTGATCTTTTTGTAAATATCTTTTAATTCTTCTTCTTTTTCCGTTTTCAGCTGATACAATGCAATATATGAATCAATGTAGTGTTTAAAGATACTTCGCGGTTCGCTGTATTTATTTGGATGAATGTTTTTTTCGGACATTAATAATTTTTTAATAGGACACATTTGCATTTTAATATATAAACCCATTTTCCTACGTAAAGTCTCCCTATCGTTTTTCTGCCTCAATATTGAGTGAATCTCTATCAAAAATTTGAATAAGAGACTTTACAAAAGAAAAGGAGTTTAATTATATTTTAAATTTATTAGAAGAAACAAATATTATGTTAGACATGTCGAAATCAATGATCACAAAGATTTCGGATCTAATTTCGGATTTAATTTATGAATTTTAATTAAATTCATAGATACGAAAATACACAATGTCTAAACCAATAAGATTTTCATCCAGACGATTATATTCAAAATGTTAGAAATTTTGCGATTTCCGGAAAAAGTGATATCGCCGAAGGCGGTGTTACTTTTTTGGAAAATCAGGATTCTTACCATTCAATTTTGTTCAAAAAAAAACTTTCGGAAAAATTTTCGAAGAAATTTTTTCTAGCTCTCGTTTCTAAAGAAGGTTGATGGAAGCTTGTCATTGAGATAACCGACTTGTAAAATTTGTTACGTGGAACCTCTTTGTTGACCTCTATAGACCATGTTACTTCCTTACTTTTCAAGAGTGATGAAAAGATCTCCAATTCAAATTTAATTATTTGGCAAAAACATCCTTTTTAAGCCAAAAATTTGATGCCAATACATACTACCCATGTTGCATTTAGCAGATTCCCTTTTTTTAATGATATTTTTATCCCGACTAAACTTTACATTTATTCAAAAAAATCTTTTTGAGAGAAAAAATTTCCGAAAATTTTTCGAAAGGGGTTGATATCAAAATTGAATAGGCAAGAATTATGAATTTAACACTTAATTACTATGGCAGCATATAATTATATTTAACTAATACTTATTTTATTTGAGTAAATATACGACATCGAAAATTTTACCAAAATTAAAAATTAAGGGTGCACACGAGAGGATCATGTAAACTTCAGAATTTAGAACCTTATTTTTAGGCATTATCTTGGCTACCTATTTAGGCTCGAAAAGCAAAAAATATCAAAAAATACAACTTGAGTCCATTATGACCCTTTCATGGAGGTAGTTTTTATCCGCTAGTATTTTCCCTTTGAATCTCTTTACAATTCGAAATCAAATTCAAAACTCAGTAGAAGAAAGGAAGAATCGACTTACTACGGTTGTAATACGAATAAATACATATATTTAATTATTTTTATTTACATAATAATTGTTTGAAGCTCATATTCCATCAAATTTTTAAATAAAAACATTAAAATGTTGAAAATGTTCATATATTTTAATAGGGTTTTGGCACTTTATTGAGGAATTACTACATACATAGTCGAACTGAACTTGATATTTTGAAATTTAAATTATTTATCAAAATTAAAATTTAACTTGAAATTTATAATTATTTAGTCATACTTTGCATAATTTTAAGTAGATTTTGTAAAAAATCAAGAAAGAAAAATTTTAACGTGCTTTATTTTTTCTTTTTTATAATAATACATATTATTATATAATTAACATATTCATAATGTTTCACCCTTTCAAAAATATAATCCTCCTCCTCTCAAATAAACGTACATACGGGTGGCCTCTTTTTTCAAAAAATTAAAATTTGAAATTTTGGGCTCAAATATTAGAGATTTTTTCAACCTTCAACGATATATGTTGTCTATATCAGACCTCCTTTCTTTTTGATACTTAACATTGTTCCTAAATCTTAGCCGTTAAGGCTGTTCTGAAAATATTTTTTTTTCGAAAAAATTCGAAAAAAATTCTTAAAATTCAAAAATCCCTTAATTCCTGAGGATTAGGGTTGTTAGATTCCCGACGATAGGTGTCTTGGAAGATTTGCCTGGTGTCATCATAGTGTCTTTAAATCAAAAATTTTATTTTGGAGTTAGTTTTATTGATTTTTCAATAAAAAACATTTCTAAAACAAGAAAATAAAACGATAAAATATTTATATTTTATATAAGGATCTTATATATTTAAAATAAATATCATTTTATTTTTTTCATTGGTGTCTGTCAAACCATAATACACTATTCAAAAATTCAATGTGTCTTGCGGTTTCAAAAGACACCTTCAAATTGAACGATAGCACAGACACTATTGAATTTTACCCATTTTATTTAGTTTTTACCCTTTTTATTTTTAAGAATTAATGACTGAAACAGCCGTTTTGCTATGACCTCAATCACTTTTATTTATTATTTTAAATATTATTTAATTTTATTATTTGAATAGGCCAACTTATATTTGAGAAGCTCAATTTGAGACCCCTTAATACATTGAAATATCATAAATATTGAAATATTAAAAAGTGTATTTCAAAATATTGAAATTATAAAAATTATATAATACTGAAATTGAGACAAATTAATAAATTCAATGTTTTTTTTGAAATAACTCTCAAATATTATTTTTTTGTTTATTTAATGATGAATAAACATGATTGCTTTAGTCAATCATAAAAACTAATTTAAGTTTAAAATAATGAAAGGATAATTTGATCGTTTTTTAAAATACAATTATTTTTGATGATTTGCAAGAATCTTTGAAAAGAATATAATATAGGTTCTATTATTGTAAAATTTATCCAAATCATGTATTACATAAATTACGATTAAAACGATGAAAGAACCAAAAAGTGTGTTTTGTGTTTTGTTGTTGCGTGTTGGATGCGGGATCCTGTTATTTCCGAAATCGACAAAAAATTTGGAAATTTAATTTCCGAAATCGAAATTATATTAATGTTTTTAATATTCTTATATCAAAAGGATTAAAGTTCATTAAGAGAAAAACAATTCTTCTTCTTCAATCTATTGGCGCATTTATTTCTACACGCCAATAAGGAAGGGAAAATTATAAGACACCATGGTGTCTTCAAAACGCTAATTTTTGATATTTTTAACAACCCTACTGAGGATTTTGGAAAAAAGTTTTTACATGAACATGTGTATATTATATTAGGGATGCGTTAAACACGCCATTTGACCGGGCGTACATTTTTTTTGTTCGCCCAAAAATTTCGCCATTTGAGAAATTCAAAAATTAAAAATAAAATTTTAATCTTGATTTTTTTATTTTCGTGATTTTTTTTTTGAAACTTACATAAGCGATGAAATACTTTTTTTAAGTAATCGTTTATTATATATAAATATATCTTAATAAATTTAATTCCTTAAGGTAGAGCGTGTTCAAATTTAAAATCTCATACAATATTTTCTTAATGGCGTATTTTTCTGAGGTCGCCCATATAAAGGCGAATTCAAAATTGAGAACTCCAAGGCGTATGGCGAGTATTCAAAAAGTACGCCACTTACAAAATATTGAATGTGGATTATCAATTTTTTGGCGTGTTCAATTTCAAATTTTGATATTTATGTTTATTTTATTCAGTATAATGCTAAGAATTAAAATATAAAATTCATAGAATTTTTTCTTTGAAAATATTTTACATTTTTATTAGACCACTCCTAGACTAGTCATCAGGTTATCCTCAGATCATCCTCAGACTACTCCTTATCAGATTACTCATCATCCTCAGACTACTCCTTAGACCCCTCCTCATCAGACTACTCCTTAGACCCCTCCTCATCAGACTCCTCCTCAGATCTTCCTCCTGAGACTACTCTTCAGACTACTCCTTAGAGTCCTCCTCATCAGACTAGTCCTGAGACTAGTCCTCAGACTACTCCTGAAACTACTCCTCAGATTATCCTCAGACTCCTCCTCAGATTATCCTCAAACTACTCCTCAGTCTAATCCTCAGACTCCTCCTCAGATTATGCTCAGATTATCCTCAAACTCCTCAGATTATCCTCAGACTACTCCTCAAACTCCTCAGTCTAATCCTCAGACTCCTCCTCAGATTATCCTCAAACTCCTCAAACTACTCCTCGGTCTAATCCTCAGACTCCTCCTCAGATTATCCTCAAACTCCTCAGATTATCCTCAAACTCCTCAGACTACTCCTCAGATTATCCTCAAACTCCTCCTCAGATTATCCTCAGACTCCTCAGACTACTCCTCAAACTCCTCAAATTATCCTCAGACTACTCCTCAAACTCCTCAGATTATCCTCAAACTCCTCAAACTACTCCTCGGTCTAATCCTCAGACTCCTCCTCAGATTATCCTCAAACTCCTCAGACTACTCCTCAGATTATCCTCAGACTCCTCCTCAGACTACTCCTCAAACTCCTCAAATTATCCTCAGACTACTCCTCAAACTCCTCAGATTATCCTCAAACTCCTCAGACTACTCCTCAAACTCCTCAGACTACTCCTCAAACTCCTCAAATTATCCTCAAACTCCTCAGACTACTCCTCAAACTCCTCAGATTATCCTCAAACTCCTCAGACTACTCCTCAAACTCCTCAAATTATCCTCAGACTACTCCTCAAACTCCTCAGATTATCCTCAAACTCCTCAAACTACTCCTCGGTCTAATCCTCAGACTCCTCCTCAGATTATCCTCAGATTATCACTTTACATATATATCGATAACTAAATAATTACTTATTATACTTTCTTTATTTTTTTTTAATTTTAAAATAATATTAATATATCTTTCTACGTTTAATGATGAAAAGAGAAAGAGGAGTAAAAAGAGGAAAGAGAAAAGAAAGAGAGAGAGAGAGAGAAAAAAAGAGAAAGAAAGAAAGAAAAAAAAGGACGGCGATAATTTTGTATTGTTTTGTTATTCGGCCGAATGGCGGCTACTTCGTACCCGCCATTCGGCCCCAAAAATAGCGTATTATTCTATTTTTAAACGGTCATGGCGTAAAACCGTCGCATCCCTATATTATATGAAGTATATTGATAAGGTAAAAATCAAATTTTATTGCATATTCATCGAGAAAATAAACTAACGAATCCCTCAAAATTGAGAGGGTAATCCTCCTCCTCTCAAATAAACGTACATACGGGTGCACCCTTAAAGAAAAGTTATACAAAATCATAATTCAAAATGCCATTTGAAAAGTCTGCACATCAGAATAAGGATGATTACTTTAAGATTCTTCATGATTTGTTCCACAATTACAATAAAGTTGCTGTTGTCACTTCTCAACAAGTTAAATCAAATCAACTCATGAAAATTAGAACTGATATTTCCAGCTTTGCTGAAATTGTTTTCTGTAAGAACTCATTGATGAGACGCGCTGTTGATCAGCTGAAAAGGGAAATTCCAAGCATTACTGAACTTGAAAAATATCTCACAAATGGAGCTGGGCTTATCTTCACAAATGGATCATTCAAGGCAATCAAAGAAGTTATTGATGCAAATTGTAGATATTCAGCTGCAAAAGCAGGATCAATTGCCCCTTGTGATGTTATTATCAAAAGACAGTTGACATCAATCCCATATTACGAATATAATCTTTTCTTTGATCTCCAAATTCCTTGCAAAATTTTCAAAGGTACAATCGAGGTTGCAGGCAAGAAACAGCTAGTTTGGAAAGGTCAAAAAATTAGAGCTTCTGAAGCCCGCGTTCTTGAAATGCTCGGCATCAAGCCATTCAAGCATACTCTCAAAATTGAAGTTCTTTATGACAATGGTACAATATGCGATCCTGAAGCATGTGGCTTGGGCAATGAAATCGATGAGCATCAGGAGGAGGAAGAAGAAGAGCCTATGATACTTGATGATAGTAATTATTTTGATTTTGACTTTTAAAAATTACTTTTTCATGGAATCAAATATTAAAGAATTAACAGAAATAAGAAAAGTCTTGCCAAAAGATACCAAATTGAAGAATGATAATATAGAATGATCAATTATAATAAAATTACATAATGCCTCATTTTGTATGTATCAATATTTCTTTGTTTCTATTATATAACATGCTTACATTCCGCAGTTAGTATACCAGTCTTGGGTACGGAGGCACTGCGCACCTACTTACCCATTATATGTGAATTTGACACTTTACAAAACCGTTAACGTATATTTTACAACACAAACACAAACACCAACTTAACCTTAAATATTTATAAAGCCGCCAACCACTTCACCTCACTACTGTAAAAAATAAACGTTCTCACTTACAAAAGTATTGCAACTCTTCCCATTGCTGTGCTTCACACAATAGTTCATATTCTTCAGTATCGCTGCTGTCGCTCCAATCGTCAGAGTCAAAGTCACTGTCAAAATAAATGTTAGTAAGTTTTGACAAAGCTAATGAAACACGCTTACCGTTTGTATCTACTGCTTGTATATATCTTCCATTATGTTTGCTATCATAAACGCTCAAACTAACTTTACCCTTTCTCCCTCGTATCTGATAGAATGTATTTTCACGAGGAACGAAGAACAAATTCTTGAACTAATGACCGTTGTAGTTTGTTATCTCAATAGTTTTCGTCATTTATATAAAAATAAACTTAAAAATAAACTTAAAAATAAATGATATCACCACCCTCACACGTATGAAAACATAGCACAAAAATAAATTTAGGTGAAGTGGTGAAATCTCACCTCTTTTTTCACCCGGTTTTTCACCCTGTTGAATTCATTGCTTTATAACTCTCTTCCTTTCTCCAACTCTTCTAACTTCTTCTTAAGTTCAGCAATGTTGTCCTCATGAAGTTTAATCTTTCTCAAAATTCCTTCTTTATCTAATGGTTGCTTTATCTTTCTAAACTGAACTCTACCATCCTTCATAGTATGAATGTAAAAACCTTCTGGAATAGTTCCTGATTTAATGTATTCTACCAAAAACTTTTGTTTCATTGCTTCAGTGACTTTAGTCGTCATTTCAATCAAATAAAAATTTTAATATTAAATAAAAATAACGTTATTTTTTCAGTAAGGAAACGCAGGAGTTTTACGATTTATTTGAGGAGTAGGTTCTGGTTTAAATGTTGGAGTCGGTTTAGGAGTTGACTTTTGAATAGGAGTTTGTACTTCCATAGGTTCAGGAGTCATTGAAGGTTTTGCTTGTGAAGTCGTTGGTTTTGACGTTGGTTTTGGCGAAGGTGTTGGAGTTTGTTTAACTTCGGCTACTTCAGTATTATTTACAACATTTGCTTTATTTCTTTTCAACATCATAACTGCTCCTGCTGTAGCTAGCAAACCTAGTGGGAGACCATATCTTATATAAGGACTTGACCAAATGCTATTTTTGACAGGAGCTGGTGGAACACCTAACCTTGGTGAGACTGCTCTTTGCCATTGTGCAGCTCGTAAGAAATATTCAATAGGTGCTCCATAATCGTTTGGTAAAGTTTGTTTCATAGATGGTGAAGGTTCACGAGAGCTTGATGAAGAACTCATTTATAAGCTTTAAAATAAACGTTCATCCTTTATTCCTCACTGTCGTCCGCAGCTAAGTTATAGTCATCTAATCTTATTATTGGGATTCCATTAGCACGCACCTGAATGGCAAAGCAACAATCCCTCATAAATCCAATAAGTGGCTTTGGTACATTTTCAGTTGCTAGTTCAATAGGTCCTTTAACAGACAATTTGTATGTTATTGGAGCAGTAGATGTTTGACCTTGCTGGAAGCAAAAGTCCACTTCTGTTGGAAAACCACATAAGAAATGTGTGTTGTCATAGCTATCCCATTTATGTTCCACACTACCATCATCCACCAATGACCTCATAACATCTTCATTAAATCCAATCATATCATTGTTTGTATTGCAAGCGTTCGCAACCATTTCATAAAATACAGGTCCATATGATTTTTCAGGTTCTGCAGGCATATTTCCATAAGCTCCCATGGAAAGCTGAAGATATTTAAACTTAGGGTTCTCAAAATTAACATAATAGTTGTCTTTCTTTCTAAATAGTGCCCAAATACTTTTAACATTAATAGGCGTATAAGCTGCTGTAAATGTTGCACTTGAACTATCTGTATTCTTTGAGAATGAACCGTCCATAGGAATCCAATCCATAACTTTAACAGGAAAACATAAAGCCTCGTTTGTATAATGTTCTACAAGTTCTGTATAAATGTTAGGGTCTAAAGAGAATGATTTTGGATGAATGAAACATTCATTAAAATCCATCTTTGTTCGAAATAGTTGCTGGGTTACAGTTGTAATAGTAACTGTTCCACTAGCTTCTATTGCCTTCGTTATCATAGTGAATGGTTCATTCCATGGAACAAATTTATTTGTCGGTGGATTTGAATCTGAAGCAAATGCAACTTTAAGAGTTGGATTGAAAGCAATGATATCATTTACAGATATAGATGTGCATTGTAAGGCGTCGCTACTGAACTTTACTTTAAGCTGAATGTTTCCTGCAAAAGCTGGAATAAATCGAATAGCTTCTAATGGAAGGAATCTTCTAACAGGAATTCTTAAACGAAGCTTAAAATCAAATGATTTTCCTGCTGTAATTGGACCACTAACAATTTGTCCTGTTCTGCATGTTCCCGAATGACTCCATACATCTTCATGTCGAGTCTTTGAGAAAACATCTACTTTCTTTATTTGTTCGGTAGTTTGTGAGTTTGAAGTATATATATGCTTCTTCTCTTGCGTTGTCTTGAGAATATACGATACGACCATTTGCAAGGATTTGATATCCAGCAACTGCATAGAAAGCGTCATCGAAACCAATCCAAAATCCTGGTGGGTTTGTTTTATTGGAACCTGAACCAATTTCTTTATCTACAATAAATTGACCTTCCATTTTATACGTAATGAATGTATTGTAAAGGTCCAACATATTTTCACCAGGAGGTGAGAGATTGAATGTTACCCATGTGTTATCTTTAGCAGTTCCAGGTTGTGATGGAATCTTTGCGTCAGAATATTTTCTATTAGTGTCACCAATTTGAACTGCATTGTCTATGATATCGAAATATGAGCGAATCTGATGAATATGCTCTGCTGGAGTAAATTCGTTTAACTGTTCGTTCTGCATGTCTTTGATTCGGATAAAAATATCTCTTTACTTCATTATTCTCACTCTTCTTCTTGGCATTCGTGGTGGAAGTTGTTTCTTGACATTTTCAATGAACTGTACATTCTCTTTTGTCTCAACTTCTTTCACTGGTGGGTCAGGGTTCTTTGACTCGGTTTGCTTTTCAATGAAATTCACGAACTTTGCAATAAGCTCTTGGTTCGTTATTGAAAGTACATCTGGCTTCTTTTCTTCTGGTTCTATTGACTTTTCAGTTTGAATAGAAGGTTTTATATGGGCTTCGCCCTCGGTGCCATGCACCTTAATGTTGTCGCTCTCTGTATTCGCTAATGGAACCTTTCTTTTTCTTACATATATTTTACCATCTTTACTCTGACTTACATAATAGAAAGGATGTTGTATTCCTCTGGCGTCATTTAATATAATAGACTCTCGCTCTGATTTTGACAAGCTCATTTTACATCGGTTAAAGTTTTAATTTTGTTTTTTATCTGCAGTCAAATGACTCAGACAATAGATGTTGAAGCATTGAAGAAAGAAATTCGCGAGCAAATTTTATCCGAATTGAAGGAACAAAAACAAGAACAAAAGCCAGAGAGACCAAAGAGAAAACTTAGTGAAAGACAACTTGCTGCATTAGCTGCTGGAAGACAGAAGAACCCACGTTTGCTGGCGAAGAAAGCTAGAGAAGAAGCTGAAGCAAAAGCTAAAGAAGCTGAAGCAAAGAAAGAGTAAATGGTTTATTTTTATCGGAACTAAATGTATAGACAAATACCTTTATCTGTTGCATTTAGTAGTGAAAACCCTGACGTCAAAATAAAGGGGAACAGAGTAACGTTTAAGTTTCCAACAGACTGGATTGTGAACATAAATGAAGAGAAGTACATTGGCATAACAAATATGTATATAACACGTGCTTTCAGAAAGGTTGACTTTATACTTCAAGTCGAGATAGAAAATGACGAACAGTCTTTAAGCGCCCAAAACATTCACATATACAAATACTTTAAAGACGATACAACATTGCAACAATGTATGATTTCATTTAATGAAATGTTCGAGAAAAAGTTTAACATTGAAGTACAAACTTTACAGCCTTTACGTGAGTTTCTTGCACAACTGAAAGAAGAAGGTAGTCAGCCACAACTTATAGACTTTCATTATGAATTTAATGAAAATGAAGATGGAACACATGACTGTCAGTTTGTTATATATTCACCATTCAATGAAGTAGCTAAAAAGAAAGAAAATCCATTACGTATAAGATTTCAAATCTCTGAACCCAATGAAGATTTCAAGAATGTTTTCAATTATTATGCAATGCTTCCGAGGAAAAATGAATTTTCAAAGATTGTAACACCTGGCATTTGGGATAGAAAGCAAGCTATATTATATTCAAACTTAAGTAAGGGAGTTGAAAATGAGTTCATTGGTCATACAAGAACTTCACACTTCCTAACCCTAAATACTATAAATTAACTGGCTTCAATCGTGAGTTTTGGATAGACATGTTCTCTACTCATGACCATAACTGCCCAGTGTTCTTACCTCCAGACCATAAGGACTGTCTCTACATTGAAGCACAACTCTTAAACTCTACCATCGCAGTATTGTAAATGACCACATGGGCTTCGCCCTTGCCGCTAGCGGCTTATTTTTATCATGAATGGTCTCACTGCTGACAAAAATAAATGACCTCATTATTTTTCTCATTCATGACCTCAGAACTTAAGCTTTCTTATGAATGAAGTCTTAGTCTGAATAGAAAAGTTAAACTTTTCAGCAAAGCAAGGACTAGAAGACTTACATAAGTCAAATCCAATCTCTTGACCGTCATAAAGTGCTTTATATAACTTCATAACACTGAACTCAGAGTCTTTGTCAAATTTTCCTTGCGGAACCATTAAACCTTTATCTTCATCATAGAAACACTGAACAGAGTCAGGAAACATTTCATTAGCGGTTAAAGCAATAACATCTTGCTTCACGCCTTTCATTCTGCAGTGAAATGCAACTTCATTTAAATCATTCGTGAGTAAGTCTATGTAAGTCTTCTTTCCACAAAATATTGACTTGTATGCTAAACTTTGTTTATCTTTTGTGATTTCTGCAAAGTCGCTATGAAATTGACCAAGGTTTTTACCAATGAGAACTCTTCCATAACGTTTCTCAAACTCTTCAGCTAAACGAGGGATATCTTCATTGTAGAGATGCATACTGTCCGTATCGCTATAAAAGATGTCCATTCCTAAGTCCTCAGCAGTACAGAATACTTCACACATTATTCTCTTCGACAAAGATAAGATATTAACACCTAAGGGGCAAAAGTTAAAGTGTCTGCAAATGCTTTTCGTTAGCTTGAAAATAGTTTTATCTGAACCATCCAAACCTTCGAACTTCACTATATGGTTGTAGTTTCTGATGGCATATCTTATAGCATCTTTGTCATCTACTATGGTTATTTTTGACTCAATAGGAGATAGAATAGTTTTGCCATAAATACTGTTCAGAATGAGCTTTATATTTTCTTGCAAAGGATTTCCTTCTTTCTTATACTTTAACCTTAACTCAAACAACTTCTTTACTTCATCTCTTATTCTAATATCTCTGTTTCCATCGTAGTAGTATCCTTGCAACACTTCACATTTGACACCTTGATATTTTATAAGGTCTTGTAATGTTATATGGTCAACATACATGAGACAGCAAGAGTTTGAACTTCTGGGAACGTTAAGTTCTGGATTTAGTTCAGGGTCACAAACTATTAAAGGAAAGTGTCTATGTATGCTAATCTCTTTTATCTTAATGAGAACAAAGAAGCCAGACATAAACTTTTCACCAATGGGTTCCTTTTGGTCGTCATCGAATAAATGCTTTAACAAATATTCAGAACTTAACATCTCATCCTTCAATACTTTTGGAATTCCTTCTAAAGTATAAAGTCTTGCTATAGCGGATGGATATAATGAAACAGCGTCGAAGTCAGCAATGAGTTTCTTTTCGCTCTTTTGTTTCATGTTATCTGACAACATACATCTTCCACCTTGAATGCATCTCGAAATAAATTCTCTTGGTTTATTTGAGAGGTCATAAAGATTTCCATTCGGGAAGTATACTCTGTTCTCAAACAATTTGTTAGCATAGAACAAATACTAACGTAGTCATAAACGTTTAAATCAAACTCTTTCAATAAGTCATTGCGGAACTTTACAAAACCTTCTCTTAAAATTCTTACATCTTGTTTGCAGTAAAACGTGCTATATTTTTCTAAGTCGAAGTTGTTTTCATCTATTCTGCAACCTTTGATGGAATCTATGTTTTTCATAAATGTATCTGCATCCTGGATAAACTTACATGCTTCAGAAATGACACCAGTTCTGTTGTCATTTGCTAACAAAGTACTGCTGTAGTAGTTATATGGAAATACTTCTTTCGGTCCTGTTTGTAAGTTAAACATAGCAGGAAATAGTTTAAGCTTCTTATTTATAACACTGTAAGAGTCTTTTATAATAATTGCCCGTCCTTTATATGAACCAGTTATTTGCATTGTTCGTGAACCTTTAATGATGGGAGTTCCTTTCACTTCTGTCATGTGTCTTAAGATGAAGTTTATATCATAGCTGAGGTTATGGAAATATATTAAACTCTTGTCAGGAAGTCGCTCCAAAAATTCTGTTGCACAGCTTTGACCCCATATGCTTTCACTCACTGAACCATCTTCACTGTCGTAACAGATGTTAAAAGCATTATGAAAGCCGTCTGTGCTACACTCAAAGTCAGCAAAGAAAACATGCTCAGGAATGAACTTACATTTAGCTTTATTTGCTTCTTTTGACTCTGCTTTCTTCTTCAGTTGTACACAATACTTTGGAGCATATGTCAAATCTTTAAATGGTGCAAGGTTCTGTTTATATAAGTCAGTCGATATATGTGAAAAGTTCTCCATAAGAAATAGGTTCGAAATATTTGCACTCCCACAATGTTTTCATAACATCCCATAGCGGTGTAGTTCTATCCATGCGAACTACATATTTATCTTCTCTCTTTGTATAAATCTTCATCTGTTTCTCAATGTTCATTCACACCACACTCCTTCAAGATTTCTATATAGTTGCGAATGAAATATGTTGTCATTGGAAGTCTTTCATTTAGCATGTAGTGGTCCTTCAACAAGAAGTAAGTCAATAGTTCGAACAGTTTCACATTCTTTTGGTATATATCTCTTTATTTCATTATGTCTTGAGTCATTGAAATAACAATGGTAACATTAAATGCTATACAGTTGCCGTCAGAAATTTCTTGTACTTTACTTTGAGGAAAGTCTCTAACACGAATGACTTCTCTCATGTGGTCAATAGTTTCTTCATTTACTCCAGCCTGAATGCAAGCATAAACGAAGCAGTTATCTTCTGTCATAAGTGTTGCAGTTCTTTTGTTCAGTTCATTGAAGATTTGGTAGCGTTCAAGATTTATAGGTAATGTGCAAAGATACTTCCAGAACTGACCGCTTCTCTTCTTATAAAACTTCTTTTCACCATTATCTTTCCAAAAGCTTTCTATAAGTGCTGGGTTTCCTGTTTGCTTAAGAGCTTCCAAAATGGCTTTCTGGTCATTTGTCAGTGTGCTTTCATCTCTATATGGTCTCTTTTTTGGTTTGCCTTTCTTTACATCTGACATCGTTAAGCCTTCATATTCTGTTAAATCATACATCTTTATTTCAGTAAGATTCTTTATGTTTGTCAAGAAGAAGTCATAGTGCATTTCAACAATACCTGCAGCATTTGCTTCTATCTCTGATATAAAGTTCTCCTTCAAGAGCTGATGTAGTAATGTTCCAATATTATTGAGGTTTAACGTAGAACATTCATACTTTCCACCAAGTTTATAACATACCATCCATCTTTGTTGGGAGTTTATTTTAATCTTCTCTAAGAGTCTCATGAAAACCTTACCGAAATGTTTGTGTAAGTAGTCTCTGTTTGGTTCATCTAAAGCTTCGATGTTAAAGTCAATGAGTCTATTGCCTGACTTCACATTCTCTTCCTATTCTCTTCATCTTTCTTTAACCATCTCTCACCTTCTTTTGGTTTGTCGTCAATGGAACGAATGACATCGTTAGCTTTGCGAACTTGTTCTATAGCGCTCTTAAACATCTCTCTTCTCTGTTGTTTCAGTGTGTCGTCTCTTCTTCTTGTTTCACCAACGTTTGCATTTGTTATGTCAAACATTTCTCTTCTTACTTCATGAGGTACTGAACGTCTATGATATAAGTCAATAGCAACGTCATTTAAAGGAAATGCTCTTGCATGGACTTCGTCCTCGCCGCGTTGCGGCTTTATGAACTCATGAATTCTATCATAACTTATTGCACCATTATAGTCATTGAGGATGTCAGCGAGTGCTTTTTTGTTTGTTGCGTAATGCTTTGCAACATCTATATTAGCTTCTGTAAGAAGTTGTTTTATTTCCGAGTGTTCTAACTTAGACAACTTCCGATACATTTTAGTAGGAAATAAAAAAATATTTTTTTTTGAAAAAATTAGATTAGATTTTTTAAAGTTATTTTTCAAAATAATTTAATATTTTTATTTTAATGAAACACATGCAAGATTGCAAGTTCTTTTCATACAATGCTCTCGCTAATGCCATCAAGAATGAGTTCAATAATGCTTCAAATGTTAATGTTATCTTTAACAAGAAGTTTGTGAAAGAATCTAAGTTTGGTCAGTATGTCAGACCATTAGCTATCGTCATTGACCGCAAACGTTATACTTCACAAGAGTTAGCAGTAGTTTTGAAACAAAAGAGTTTCTTCGTGAATGTCAAAGATATCATTATACTGTCATAAAGAACTCTAACATTGACTTCTTCAGTATTGCTTTAAATCTTTCCGAACAGAAAGAATATAAGAAGGGTGAAACAAATGTGAAATATTATCCTTCATCTCTGAAGACAATAACGAACAAAGATGTTATACAGAAATTCTTACCAAAGGTTGAAGAAGCTTCTATTGACATTGACGAAGAAAGTGAAATGGTTGAAGAAATTGACCCTGAAGCTTTATAAGAAAATTTATTTTTGAATAACTGATGGTGTCACCACGTCACCATGTGTCACCAGGTTAATTAACTTCTCTTAAAAATGATGACAACATGACATTTTGACAACAGGTACGAAAGGAGGAAGGCATTTATGAATTATTTTTGAATAACTGATGGTGTCACCACGTCACCATGTGTCACCAGGTTAATTAACTTCTTTTAAATGATGACAACATGACATTTGACAACAGGTACGAAAGGAGGAAGGCATTTATGAATTATTTTTGAATAACTGATGGTGTCACCACGTCACCATGTGTCACCAGGTTAATTAACTTCTCTTAAAAATGATGACAACATGACATTTAGACAACAGCATGGGTTGAATGCAAAATAAATTCCAATCATACTTTATAAAGCATCATTTACAGGTATTTCATCGTCAGTAAATGAATCCTCATTATCGTTTGGTTCAACCTGTTTATATAATCCTTTCATTTCTTCTTTCAAAATAACACCTAACCGTCTATTCTTCTCTGTTTCCTTTCACATTTATCCTTAATGCTCATTTGAAAGTTTTTGTCTTTCATGTCTGATGGTTTGCAGAATAGAGCATTTTCACACGTCATACCTGCACACAATTCATCATAATGTGTATTTATCCATACATCTAAAGGATTTGTTGATAATTCTATTAAATCTTGTTTGGCTTCAGTCATCGGTATGATTCGTACATTAAATGATGAAAGGTCGTAATTGATAAAATACGTCAGTAAATTATCATAAAATTCCTTTGTGCATGAATTCATCAAATTCTTGAAGTAATCAAATTGACCCTTAAATTTACCATTAACCCTTAAAACTACGTATCTTCTGTCTCCAACTTCAATTTTGACAGGGTAAACGTTGTTAGTTACGAAAATGAAGTTTGCAACGTTCTGAGCAGTTCTTCTGGGTTGATTCTTTTCATTAATTCTAATCTCAGTATCTGTAATAATTGATTTCAAAGCGTTGAAGTTTGCGAGTCTGTCTTCACCTACATTCTTGAGTTCATTAAGTACAAGAAACATTTTATTCTCAACTACTGAATTGAAATTACCCGTTAGCTCACCTATTTCGGTAATGTTTTTACATGAATAACCGGCGAGAAGTTCAGAAATAATGTCTGTAAATCTGTTTTTACCTGTTCCCTGAAGTCCTTTCAAAATAATTGCTGTTTCATTCTTGATTCCAGGATGTTGAATCATTGATGCAATCCAGCCGAGAAGGTATTTATACACTTCATCGTTATTATCACAAATGGCTTCTTTAATGAAATTCATAAACATCTCAATTTTTGAGTAATCGGGCTTTTCGAGAACGTTGTATTTATAACCTTGAAACGTTGAGAAAACATCTGGGGAATCAGATTTAAAGCAAACACCCTTAACGGTTAATGAGGATAATTGATTTAATAGTACGTCCCATGCTGTTATGGTTTTACCTTCTTCTTTAAATAATTTAATCATTTTGAGTGACTCTTTCATGTTTGATTGAAGAACGAATGATATTTGATTCATTTTGTCGTGGATATTATAGTCCTTTTGAATGAAATATTTGTTTCCACAATCTACAAAACGGATTACACGTGATAAATCCTCAATTACTTCAGAACTGTTTTTATACTGATGATTTTCAGCCTTGTGTCTAATATCTGTTATCAAGAATGAATCATCAAGTTTTATATCAAATGTTATTTTTGGCTTACGTAATAAAGGTAAAACGTATTCATCATAATATTCCTTTTGATATAGTTTTAGAATCTTCACCAAAACAAATGGAGAAGTCATTAAATGTGCATATCTACTACGTGCTTTTTCAAAATTACTTTTTGCATTTCAGTTAAATTGCAGAAGTTATAAACGTTATCGTATGCTTCATTAATTAAATGATTAGGTAACGAATTAATTGCTTGAAACAGTGTGAATAATGTAACTTCTTTTTCTAAATTCATGTTTCCACCGTCATTATGTACTTCAAAATCACTAATACCATCGATTATGCTTTGAGCTAGTTTATCGTCAATGTTTACATTTTTGTTTTCATTCATGATAGTCTTTATTTCTTCGTTCTTCTGTTCAACTCTTACCTTAATATTCAAATCATTTAATATATCATTCACTGTTCTAGTTAATGTTGAATCGTAACTTCCACGAATGAATGAGTATGTATTGATTGGTTCTGTTGCATTCTTGCGAACTCTTGAATCGGCCATAACTACTAAAGAACGCTTTGAATCATCCATAGAAGTCATTATGTCAATATCATAATCATTTGCAGGAATAACATTTAATCATTCTGTTCGAAACTGCATAGAAGAAATTAGTGTTGCAATAAATGTGAAGACCTCCTGAAGCGGTTTTAACGATAACATCTTTATCCGAAAGTTTGATAGAATGTCTTTCTAACTGTTTCTTTAAGTTCATCATTGTATGATTTATTGATATCAACATCTATAATCGTTAAATTCGAAATTTTATTTACTAATAAAGCCATACCAGTTTTCTTCCTCTTCCTCCATCATGTTTGAGGTAGTTATGTAAATCAATCTTGTTTTCACCAATTCTTTCGTTGAGGATTTTAGTTTCTGCCTGTACTAATTCCTCAGCTAATGAATCAATAACTTTTTCATCAGAAACGATATAGTTGCTGTTGTTGTTTGTTGCTGTCATTTATATAGGAATAAAAAAATAAAAATAATTTTAAAACTAACTTTATTTTTGGACTGCATCAAATTTCCAGGACTGTTGTCTAAATGTCATGTTGTCAGTAATTTTTAAAGAAGTTAATTAATCTGGTGACATGGTGACGTGGTGACACTGAAAACATTTACGAAAAAATTAATGAAAACATTAATGATATCATGACTGTTCTCGTTCATGTCTGATTTACATCTAATGAAAAAGTTTAGAAGAATTTTCATATTCTTTCTGGCATATTTTTGTCTTTCCAGTACTCCCGCTCTAATGGTCCCAGATGTGTTGGCTTCGACTCTCTCAAGTTCTTAGATGGTATAACATCTTCAACGCCTCCTTCATATCTTACTTTATAAGTGTCATCGTTTATGTTATAGCCAAGTATTTCAATAACCACTCCTCGCTTTGCTTCGTCAATGGTTTTAGCAAGTTTGCCATTACTACTTTCGACTAATTTATGACGAGGGTAAAATGCTATGGAGTCGTCAGCAGCTTTTATAAGATATTCATTACCTTGCGTTGAATCTACTATATAATAATTTCGACTTAACTTAAACGTTTCTTTGTCAACGGTTTGTCGTCAAGAACTACACGAACTTTTGTTCCAGGAATGAGAGTAAATTGTGTTGAATTTCTGATATTTTGTGTTTGGCTTCGTTTCTTTTGTATATACTTTTCTTCTTGTTGTTGTGTCATTGAATTTGGTGTATGTCCTGTTGTAGAATGTGTTGAGGAATTATATACTTCGAGAAAGTGTTTCATTGTTTCTTCGGTAAAGTCTCGCTCTTGATTTAAATCTCTGAGAGTCCTTTATGAAGCGGTTTTATGATGCCGAGTATGTTATGGTTATGGTCTTTCAGTAGTGTAGTGAGTTATGTTATGCTAATGAGAAAATCTGTGATTTCATGCTGAGGTATGCACTGTCTTGGTCTGATGTTAAAGTACTTGGGCTATGTTCTGCTACAAACTTTTTGTAAAACTCTTAACACTTCACGAGTTCCTTTATTCCTCATTATATACGCAAAAGCTTTGCGAGTGTTAACATTAATGAAGATGAGGAATGTTTATGTCCTCCTTTTCTGCTTTGAATGAGAGTGTCAAATTGGTATGCGTCAGGAGTGTTGGAGTAAATTGGTAAAAAGTAGTCGTAAGGGTTTATTTTTGTTTGGTGTACAACATTTTTGTCAAAGAACTTTTTAACTTCAGCTCTGTTAGTAAATCCCCAACTTTTTGCTGCTTCATTGAACTCTTAAATGACCTCCATGGATGTTGTTCGAATACTTCTTTCAAGCTCATTTATGTAAAGTTAAAGATTTCATTGAACACGGTACCATGCGAATACAGTCACAAATGGTGGCATATAATCTGCACCCGAGCCTGTTGGATTTGTTGTGAAAGTGTGTGAATGATTTCCTCCTGGTTCAGTTGGTCGAAAAATCTTTTTTGCTGAATTGTTATAAGATGGAGAAAACGTCATTGCCAGCTTCATATTCTGAGTTGTATAATGGGTGGTCTCTTAATGAGTGGCTATGGTCGCCAGAAAAGTTTGTAGTTCCTGTATGAGTGTGCGGTGGAAGGTTTGCTTCTTTAATTTTCTTCGAACCTCCTGTTTGCTTTGAATATCTAGCACAGTATAAGAATTTATCTACAATCTGCTTCCACGTACCAAAACCTAAAAAACTTGCTGATTTGTTGAGTTCAGTGACGTATAAATAGAGCCTATAGGATATAATGTTTGAAGTATTTCAGTCTTTAATGTTTGAAGCTCTGTTTGTCTGCTTTCTTATCTAACATTGTTGGTAGTTCATATACTTCAAAGTTTCTGCATGATCTTCGATATTCCTGCAACTGTTATCTAAATTGATAAGAGTATCTTTTACGCTTGTACTTGGATTTTCTAATGGTGCACTTGAACCAAGGGTATAGTTCAATATTATGTCGTCTGCTCTAACAGTAGTGAAGGATTCATGTGTATGGTTCTTGTCAGCTTTATTATCATATAAATCTTGAGCAGTGAATTTAACATTATTTTCATCATCCATGACATAAACATTTTTACAGCTAATTTCTTTCTTCGTTGTTATGTTTTCATTCGATGTTAAACCTTGTGGAAAGTTAGGAGGTTTATAATATAAAGCAGCCGCGTGCGGCGGGGCTCCGCCCTCCCCACCAGTTCCTTCAACCGTTCCTTCAATACTTTCTATAGCAACAGTTGAGAAGGAGTTATGTGTATGTTCTTTATCTGCTTTTTTATCTAACATTGCTGGTAGTTTATATGTTTCAAAGTTTCTGACATGACCTTCAATGTTCATACATTTACTATTTAAGGAGTTTAGTGTATCTTTTACGCTTGTACTTGGATTCTCTAATGGTGCACTTGAACCAAGGGTATAGTTCAATATTATGTCGTCTGCTCTAACAGTAGTGAAGGATTCATGTGTATGGTTCTTGTCAGCTTTACTATTTAATGTAGCTTGAAGTTCATTTATATCGGAGATATTGTGTTTATGAGATTTCAAAACTTTGTTCGTTGCGTCAAGTTCATCTTTGTCAGCTTTACTTTTAATAGCATCTTCAAAAGTTATTTTTGCCTTAACTCTCAATGTAAATCTTGGTTCAACTAATACACCGTTAACAAAGAAGTATGAAGCATAAATTTCATTGTTATAACCAAATGCTTCTGGTGCTTTACCTGTGTCATACTGTACAGTACAGTGTATGTCATAACCTTTAGCACGAATGAATTTATATCTTCTTTCATTAACATCTTCAGTGCTTATTTGTTCATCCTGTGTTAAATATCCATGGTAGTCCGTTATAATCTGTTCGTCTGAACTTATATAATGAACATGGTTTTTATCTGCTTTTTCGGCTAATTTCTTTTCTATCTCATTTATTTCAAGTTCATGCCTACCACCACCTCCCGAAGAAGTATTTTTCTTCAACTCTTGAAGAACGTCCACTTCGCCATCTTTGGTGTCAATAATGAGACTTTGAGTTAAAACCTTTCCTGTCTTAATGGATGTTTGTAAAACTTCTTCTTCACCGTGTTCGGGGTCATGGTCGTCATCATATCTTGTGAAATCAGAGATGTTGTCATACATTAAGCATATCTGTCTCAAAAGTTCTGCTATTTGAAACTGGAACGAAAGATATACAGAACTTTCATCATCTCCTAAAGTCAAGTCTGCTTTCTTAAGTATTTCTTGAATGTATGCAATGAGAACAGAGTACCTTGGAAAATATTCGAACAATATTTCATTAGCTGTTGGTTTTGGTGGTTCTTCTGGAGTTTATGTTGAAGTTTCTGCATCTCTTGACTTCAATGCTCTTGCTCTCAAAGACCTAAATGTTAGAGCACCAGGTTTTACAAAGGACTTTATAAATGCTTTAATAGTTCCTGGTAAGTTATTGTTAGCATTAAGTAAGTTCCTTATGCTTCCATCATGTACGTCCATAGCACTATGTAAAAAATCTATACTTTTCTTGTAGTCAGCAATAGACTGACTGTGATTTTTTAAAGATTTGTCAATACCTTTAAGCCAATCTTCATGCATGTCTGATACTGAGCCAAGAATATCATTTGCTTCCTTTAGTGTATTTTGTGCTTCTCGTAAAGTATCCAATCTCGTACGTGCATTGTTTGCTATACGTCTTACAGTATCTATTTGACTCTTGTTTCTTGCATCCAACCAGATAAAGTTTTAATAGTATCCGAACCATTTGAAATGAAGTTCAAAGCATTTTTAACGTCATCTAAAACTTCTTCACCAAGTACTGCCCATATCTTTCCGATTTGGTATTGAAGAACTCCATATGAAGCAGCTGTTAAACCAGTATTTATAAGGTTCCATATCCATGATTTAGCAGTTTTTCCATCCTTTCCATCTTCACCATCCAAACCGTTTTCGCCTTGAGGTCCTTGTATTCCTTGTATTCCTTGTATTCCTTGTGGTCCTTGAGGTCCGGTGTCACCCTTCTCTCCTTTCAGTTCATCTTTATGTTCGTTATAATATTCTAATGTCATAAGGTGTACATCATTACTGCTACCAGCAACGCCGAGAATTTGTTTCTCATTCATGACTAAATTCTTTAGGCATTTAATGTTGTCGTCAAATCGAAAGCTCTTTAACAATTCAATGAGAACATTTAATACTTTCACTAATGAGGCATCTACTGTAGAATTTATATATTGCACCGTTCCATCATTTATGATGGGAACCTTGCTTGTTGTAATGAATGGGTCATAAGTGTTAAAAGTATCGAAATCAATGACTTTTTTAGTTTTTCCATCGTCAATGACTAAATCATTGCCTTCAATGGTTAAAGTTGAGTTTTCGTTTACTAGTTCATGTGCTCTTCTTGCTTCATTTGTTTCATACGCATATGCAGCAATAGTCATATTTTAATGAGAATAAAATGTTGTTCTATTTGCAAAGTACAGACCCAAACGAATACGGACAGTAAAGCTACAAACAAACTTAGGTCTTCAGAATGAAGCGCTTGCTTTCAGAGTTGTTGACTTCAATACTATCGCAACTTTTGTCATAACAGATGAAACAGATTTCATAGAGATTGAAATAGATGACAAAGAAGTGTTATAACATTTCCTAATAGAGCTGGGTATAGAATAGATAAAATTGCTGGAGTCATAGATACTCTCATAAATGAAGAAACTATTGACAACATAGATGTCGAACTCTCTTCTGAGGGAACATTGAAGTTCAGCAGCGAGAAAGAGTTTAAGATACCAAGAATGAGTCATAGAGTACAACTTCTTTTGGGTGCATACCATATGACATTTCCTTTGAAAAGTGTTGACAAAACGATTGAGATGAAATCTGTTCCATACGTATGTTATGGTAATTGTTTGTACATTGAGTCAAAAATAGCTAATGTCACAGGTATTTCAGGAGTTAATAGTAAAGGTTCAGTAGAATATAAGTCTTTCTGTTATGCAGTCAATTCAATGTTCATTCCAAACGTTCCTGTCATAGCAACTCATTTAGGTAAATGGGTTCGCATTAGTCCTCATAATTTGAAAGACATGCAATTCAGACTTGTTGACTTTCAAGGAGAGCCTGTAGAACTGAAGGCACCAGTGCGAATGACTGTTGAAGTTGACTTTTTAGAAAATATTAAATGCAACAGCTTACAAGAGAACTCAGGATAAAAATATAAAGTATGAATGTTATGTATTAGGTCATGAACTTTGGTTGTTGCTGTTTGATGAAACAAATGAGTTAGTTATGTCAGTCAAGAGAACAGAAAAATATTGTGTTAGTGAAAACTGCACCAAGTCAATAAGATTAGGTTTGCATTATGAAGATGAGTTCGATAGTGTTGAAGAAGTTTTGGACAGATATTACAAATTGCTAACTTGAAATTTTTTGACTGACGGCGCAAAGCGCCAAGACGAAGGTCCTGACTGCTTTAATTTACTAAAACATATTTCAAGCAAAGTTTATATTCTGTGAAAGTTTTGTATACTCTTGAATATTTATACTTAAACTCAACTCCTGTAGTTCCTGGTGTTTCAATGATGCGGATGTTACCTATTTTCATGAATAGTGGAGTTTGACCACAGCATTCGATTTCAGGGTCGAGATAGTCAATGACACATTGTTTCCTGTTATTCGTGATATAACATTTTCAAGGTCCTCCTTTGTTAGAATTATTTGGTTCTTACTTATAAGATTTGTCAAAAGCTTCTTATCGTCTTGAGTAAAATTGTTTGGTATAACTGAAGAAGGTAATGGTCTACGTTATCTGAAGGATTTGTTTGAACATTTGTGTAAGGGTTGTCGTTGGCTTCTCTTGAAAGAATTTGGTCCAGTGGTGGATACTCTAACTTAACATCTGATGTAGCGTTAGCGTTTGAAGCTGAGTTTTAATTCACCGACTTAAGTTCTGGTTCTTTTCTTTCAAACACTCTGAACTATAGTTCTTTATGACAATATTGTTTGTCGTTCGTGAGTCAACATTTGATGTTGGTTCAATTGGAACATTAACGGCACCAGCTAAGATGGATTTGCTTCTCATTTCATATAGAATAAAAACCTTTTATATGTATGAAATGAACAATATACTCGACAAGGGTTTGAATGTAAAGCTAACGAATGAAAATATTGTTGAATTCACTGAGACAGGTGCTGTGTATAAAGATGTAGAACTACTGAACAAAAGAGCTAAGGGAAGAAGCAGGAACATGAACAAAGGGTGGAAGCCTATAAAAATTTATGTCAACGATGGCTCAGGAGGTTCAAACAAAGTATGCAGAAAGTTATAGAGTTTATGCTCTCAAGGGAGAAAGCCTTCATTTAAGAACAGCTATTCTAACGCATATCCTCAAAAGCTAACGGATGGAGAAGTGGATGATATGAATGACAGCAAAAATATTAACAGAAATGGCGACAGAGATGCATGGAATTTGTTTACATCAGTCAATTGAAGGTTAAACTTTAAAACAATGTTGGTCGTTCCCATGGAATATTTTGACTTTAATGGTATTAGTCATGATATGAATCTCAAGGTATGAACGAGGAGAGATGAGAGACTTATATGCTTCCCAATTTCTTCAAAAGTAATGTTATAACCTGACTGTTTCCAAATGAGTTCAATATCATAACGTGAGAAACCTTGAAAGATAACGAAGTCAGTTATGAGACGTTTTATGTTTAAAGCTAAAAACCTCCATGTTTGCATAAGTATTGCTACAGTTAAGTGTAATGTCTGACTTTAGTAATGATGTTAGCTAATGTGTGAGTCTGGTTTTGACACTAAACCTTTTCCGGCGAAGTCGTCGCAAACGAGCAGAGTGTTTGAGGATACTTTTTGAAGGGTATTTTGAAAGTTTTGATAGAATGTAGTTTGTAAGTCGTTTCATATCGTAAACTCCTGAGTATTGACGTAAGTGGTGTTTGTCAATAATTCTTTCCATCTCCTCAGAAGTCTTTTGCATTCCTGACTGTATAAATTCAACGATGGCATAATATTTCCTCTTACGTCGAATGTAACGTTGAAGAAATTCAATGAGTTCACTGTCTGGAACTTTAACGACAGAGGCTTGAACTTTTGACATAAATGTTTTCGCTGTTGAGTCCATAGAGTCTGAAGTTGCTGATATAATGATTTGGTCATAGTAGAGTCGTTTCCTAAACGTTCTGTTATGAGTATATGACGAATGAGGTTAAATGTCTTACCTGAACCCATCTTTCCACAATAGAAATAAACACCATTTGAACAGAACTCATAGTCCTTACTGAAAGGAAGAATGAGAGAAGAGTTAAGTTTGTCTGTAGTTTCATTCATGTCTTCATCTACGTCATGTATTAAATGCTTCATTTTATCTCCATTAAAAATGCAAGTCAGAAATATTCAGAACATAGCACCGAGTCTAACTGACAAGAGTATAAAGATATACTATGAACATGTTATGATGAAACCAACCAAAATTCAAGAAAGTCAGTATACTTATGAATATCCAAGACACTGGGTAGAGTATGTAGGAGGTGAGAAAGCTATTGAAATCAGACAGGTTCGAAGTATTCCAGCAGGAAGAACAATATTATTGAAGAACTTTAATGTTTTGAGATATAATGATGAAACAAAGAAGCAAGATAGTTTCCCTGTTGCTGTGTATGTGAACCTAGACACAGGAGATGACATGAAAGTTTTTAACACAAAGCTTCAAACGGTAGTGAGAGAACAACTGACTGCGGAAGGCATCCATTACCTTCAGAAGTTACCATAGCATTATAATTTTGAAACAAACTCAATAGATTTTAAAGTCATCTCTGCAAAGAAGTCAGGATTTACATTTAATGAAGCAGATGTATATTCGAATGAAAACTTCAAAGCTATTGCATGGTTAGATAATGACGATTGCTTTAAGAAAATATTTAAATTCAGTGACTCAACGATGTCAATAGATGACCTTCGTGGAATGTTACCATCGACGTTTACAGTAGAAGGTTCAGCAGGATTGCTTACAAGATTGTCAATTGGTGGTATTTGGTCTCGTGAGAACATTGTTATAAAATCCAGTATAAGTGAATTTGCTGAAGAATCTATATTATGTCTTTCAAACTATATGTATTCGCCGCCAAAGCATTATAGTATAACAAACTTTGTCAGTAAGTTTAACATAAGACTTGTCGAACCTTCTTCAATGAAAGATGTTGTGCTACCTAAAGATGGAAAGGATGGACTCATTATTGAGATGATTTTAATAGCATATTAAATGAGCTTGTTCTTGAAGGTCATTCATGATGAAATAACTGTTGTAGAAGATGTTAGCAATTGTTCAGACATTTTGAAGCGTATAGATGATATAAGAAAGAAGTTAGATAGACCGCAAAGCGGTGAGGGTGAAGCCCGTGAGAACGCTTATGTTTCATTGACTTTCTCCAGTAACGAGAACTTTTATGAGATAATATTGAAGAGAGATGATTTTAATATGGTGTAAATGGTAGCTTGGGCAGCTTTAGGCGCAATGGGAACAAAAGCATTAGCATTTGGAGCAAAAGCACTTGGACTTATGACGCAGTAAATAAAATGAGTGGAGGAAGGGTTTCAAAGACATTAGATGCAAATAAAGGGAAGATTGGAGGCTGGGTTGCAAAGAAGTTAAGATTAAATAAAATAGGGCTCATAAATAAAGCATCCAATTTGGTTGCGACTGAGTCAGAAAATGCTTTAGGAAAGGACGATGAGTTTGCAAAACACGCAAAAGACTTTAATGACCAGATGAAAGGTGAAACAATGCATTTAAATAGAGTCGATGGAACTAAAGAAAATGTTTCTTCTCCACCAGTAGTTCTTCCGTATGGTCCCTATGGAATGTATGGAAACCCTTACGAAAGACCATTTGACCCATTGACTGGTGGAAGTAACTGGTATCATTACGGCGAAGAAGAAAGACAGTCAAGTTGGAGACAGACGTGAAGAAAGCAACTAAAAAGAAACCAAGGAAGAGAGTTATAAAGCAATGAATTCAACAACAGGGTGAAAAACCGGGTGAAAAAAGAGGTGAGATTTCACCACTTCACCTAAATTTATTTTTGTGCTATGTTTTCATACGTGTGAGGTGGTGATATCATTTATTTTTAAGTTTATTTTTAAGTTTATTTTTATATAAATGACGAAAACTATTGAGATAACAAACTACAACGGTCATTAGTTCAAGAATTTGTTCTTCGTTCCTCGTGAAAATACATTCTATCAGATACGAGGGAGAAAGGGTAAAGTTAGTTTGAGCGTTTATGAAGGAATGAAGAATGGAAAGTTTATACAAGCATACGATACAAACGGTAAGCGTGTTTCATTAGCTTTGTCAAAACTTACTAACATTTATTTTGACAGTGACTTTGACTCTGACGATTGGAGCGACAGCAGCGATACTGAAGAATATGAACTATTGTGTGAAGCACAGCAATGGGAAGAGTTGCAATACTTTTGTAAGTGAGAACGTTTATTTTTACAGTAGTGAGGTGAAGTGGTGGCGGCTTTATAAATATTTGTTGTAAACAGAAATTCATCAAAAGTGACACCTCAGAAAAGCTAAAATATTGAATTTTTGGAACTTTTGATAGAGCACGTTTTTAAATATTAATTAAAGTAAATGTATATTTTGTAAAGATTCTTTTTAATAAAAAAATAAAATTTGAAGAAGAACACAAAATTTCTGAAAAATAATATCACATAAACTCATATTATTTTCTAATATATAACTATTTTATATAAAAATCAAATTCAATGATCTTAAAAGCGAAGGATAAACCTCAAAATTTTACGAATATAATGAGTGGGAATATAATGCTTATCTATCATAAAAACCATATGAAATATCAATTTTTGCTTACACCTATTCCACTCATTATATTCTGTAAATTTGATTTATCCTTCGCTTTTAAGATCATTGAATTTGATTTTTATATAAAATAGTTATATATTAGAAAATAATATGAGTTTATGTGATATTATTTTTCAGAAGATTTCATTCTATATGCCTATGAAAAGTATTCTCAAAACTAACTTTTTCCTAATTATAATTAAATCTAGAATATTGTATTATGCTTAGTATTATTTCATTTTTCTCATTCAATTTAGAATTTACAAATGTCAAAAAATTGAGAGCTGTCACTTTTGATGAATTTCTGTTTATTACAATTTAAGGTTAAGTTGGTGTTTGTGTTTGTGTTGTAAAATATACGTTAACGGTTTTGTAAAGTGTCAAATTCACATATAATGGGTACGGAGGAACGCAGTGCCTCCGTACACGAGACTTGTATACTAACTTCCGCGTACAGATTTCTTGTAGCACTAAAACTATCAGCATCTAGATATTCATTTTATTCGATAAATTAATTTAAATTAGATAAAAACAACAACGAATTGATTTGATTTTAAAATGAGAATTGTTTGATATCCTAAATAAAATAAGGGGAAAAGTACTTGTTCACGCGCGAGAGAGATAAACCAATATTCCTCATCACTCGAAAAAAAAATTAAGGGATGCATTTTAAATGAAATCTAAAAAGTGTTGAATTGAATTAATATAAATTAGATTTCGGCAAATCATATACAATATTCACTTTCTTAATTAAGAATGTAACATTTGGGTAACGATAATGCGTGTCTGATATATGATTGGATTCGAATTCAGCTAAATCACATTGATATTTATCGGATCCTAGTCATTTTAAGTCTTGTAATCTAAATAATAAAACACATTCATGAAAATACTTTTTTTTGTAAAGTTTTATCGTCATCCCTAGAAATGTCTGAGGACAACGACAGTGATGCAGACATCTACGAGACTCCAGCTGACTTGCATAAGCCAATAGAGCACGAGCCAGTTGAACAGGAACAACCAGAAGAAGAAAAAAAAGAAACTGAAGTTCCAACGTACAAATACCGTCTGAAAGGCTTAGATTGGTGGATTACAGATCAACAAATTACCGAATCGCTTTCTGCTATTGGCCATGTTAAGGATTTGTACTTTAAACAATTCCATACCAATGGCCAATCAAGTGGTGATGTTGATGTTGAAATACAGTCAGAATTACCAGTTGAAGAGATCAACGACATACTATCAAACCTTAAATTTGAAGATAAGAATATCAAATTCGAATCCGGCTCTTCAAAATCGAAGAGAAATTCAACACCGAACCCACCGGAGCAAAAAGACAAGCCAAAAGGTCATGCTCCATTACTGTACGAAGACGAATCATCACCAATACCTTCCGAACTCTTCAGATTTAAACCAGAAGATAAAGTTAAATCTGATTCTAAGTCAAAGAAGGATGATTCTCGTGACAAAGGCAGAGATGATAGAGGCCGTGACCGCGATCGTAGCAGACGTGATAGAGATCGCGACGACAGAGATGATCGTGACGATAGACGTGACAGAGACCGTGATGACAGAGACGATGGCTACAGAAGAGATAGAGATAGAGATCGCGATGACAGAGACCGTGATGATAGGGACAGAAGAGACAGAGATCGCGATAGAAGAGACCGCAGAGACAGAGATCGCGATGACAGGGACAGGAGAGACCGCAGAGATAGGGATCGTGATGATAGAGACAGAAGAGACAGAGATCGCGACAGAAGACACGATCGTGATAGAGATCGTGATCGCAAGAGAGGATCATCTGTTTCAAGATATGATTATTCAAGTGATGATGACAGATATTACAGAAGACGTGATTAATCTTTTATTACATAAAAATAATAAAAATATTATTTATTTCATTAAAAATATTCAACTTTTAATTTAAAAACTTATATTTCATTTCTGATCTAAATGAAGATATTAATTCTATTGGTTAGTTTGAAGAAAAAAATAAATCAAAAATAAAATTATAACACTAAAAGAAATATCGCTATGAGTTGTTATTATATAGGTTAAAATAAGAAAGGATTTTCGCATTGATCTTTTGAACAGTATGGGGGTTTTTAACGTGGAAAAAAGTTTTAGCGTGGAAAAGGCTTTTTCAGCTGCTCCTAAGATTCTATGCACAAAAAACAAGTTCACACATAATCGAATAGTACCAGTCATTATATCCAATCAAGATCGAAGGTTAAAACTTATGTTATAAATATAAATATTTTTACAATTTGGCAGTTCTGAGACAATTCTGGGGTTAGAACGCATTAAAATAAATTTTCTACCATGATCCCAGTATTATCTCTTCAAAATCGAAGCTAGAAAAATTATTTATCCAAATGCTTGCATTCTATTACAAATTGATTTTATTATATCTCTGTTATACATAAACATATTTTAAACAATTACCTTGTTCTAACACAATAATTTTTAGATAATTCTTAAGAATTAGGCTTATACTTATAGTTTATTTAGATATTTCTATGGCACATCAATTAAGATATAGATTACGATATTAACTGCATAGTTTCTATTAATGATTACACTTTATTTATTTGAAATTAATTTTTTGATTATTATGTTTTTGTATTTTAATAAATGGGTTAACAAGAACTATATTACTTGAATCTATTTTCATCTAAAACATCAGAATTTTGAAAGAATAATTTTTCTACCATACTTCAATAAGCATTGTAAGCACTATCATATCAAACCTGTATATCTATGCATGTACATAATATTATATCTGCTGTGATCTAGTTCCTAGATGCATATATATTTTATTTGATATCGAATACTTACAAACATCCAGTTCAATCTAATATAGGAATATCTTTTAATTCATCAACAAAATTTAATTGTCGGCAACACTCTTCTGTATAATAAAGATACAATTAAAAATTATATATATAATACAAATACAAGAACCATGAATCCCGAATAGCAATGTATAGTCAAACAAATATTTTTTCATAAACACAATAAATATTATACTATCTTGATTTAAAATTATATTTTTGGCATTTGAAATAGAAACATTTTGAAATGTATAGATTCTGTTGCTTTTAATGGATGCATGATACATTATATGATGATTATCAAGAAAATCTAAACTGTTTTATCGACAATTAATGGTAATGAAGAAAATCTGAAAAATAAAAACTTAATTCAAAAATTGAAGACTTTACTTTTACTATATTAAGGATTATGCAAAAATTGCATTTTATTAAAAATTAAGCATTTTTAAATTGTGAGCCATTCAATTGGGCTTCTTTTTAGGGAATAAGATATTCGTAATATACACCCTATTTATTTACTGTTAATCGAGAAAAGATGTCGGAATATCAATATTTTGAAAAAATTTATTTCAATGTGTTGCATTATATCTTTGTTTGCTGTACGTATAGAACCTCCCATAGTGAAAAATGATTTTTCAATTCTAGCTTTTGCATTGTGCCATATATTATTGAATATTTGCTAATTTCACCATGATATTATGCTTTTCATTGATTTTCTTCAGTAGGCTTGTATTGTTCTGTGTGTTGTAGCTTTCCGCACTATATTTCAAGTATGCATGATGAAGAAAAGCCGATGAAATATTATTTTGGTTAATTTTAAACGTATATGCATTATTTTAATTTTTAAATTCTATGTCTATGTTTGAACAATAACATGCTTCATTTATTTGAGAAATTTTCATCTGACCAAATACTCCTATCGTTCAATAATCTAAAATGCATTTGGGTGCTTTCCTTTTTTTTATCTAAAGATCAAATATAGTTATTCGATCTCACATACTTCTTTGCAACGTATATCTTTGCAACTACCGGTTAATTCCTAAATTTTGTCCGCAATTAATTTGTATTCATGAAAAATCGATCGATAATTATCTGTTGTGGAAGCAGCTATGCAATGCCTACTAATACTCTAGTTCTTTGCATTTATTCCTTACGAAAGCATTAAAAAAAAGAAAAATAATCAAAATTCCTCAAACTTATTCAACCTCTTCTACGAACCCTCCTTATTGTATGAAATTATAAAGAAATTTTGATTACTTAAAAATTTAAAATAATGACATTATTTACAAATGTTAGATTTTGTTGTTCCGCAAATTTTGGAATCTTTCTAGTAAAAATGTTATCCTATCTATGGCATATCTTAACGAATATTTATTCATATCATATAAAAGTAAATATTCAATAAATTATTTTCCTTGCTTGAGAGCATGAATATATCATTTGGTAAGTAAATTGTACTATACATAAACATGATTAAGACATTTAATATGTTTTTTCTTCTGTTTGCATCCTTTTTTTTAATTATTTGAACGAAAGAATGGTGGGTTAGGTGCACATGACACCAATTCACGAAAATATATCTCTTCCAGAATCATTGAGTTGATTTGTGGAAATTATTTTGGGCATCTTTAAGAAAAACATCCTTTTTCAACTTATTGGAGTTGAAACCGGAATTATTTCGTTAGTACAGCAATTTCTACTAGGAGAATTTCTCGAAACAAGTACAAAAAAAAACCAAAATTGCGAAACTAAGTATACAACAAAGAATTGTTTTGATAGCAAACAGAACCATGGAATTTATTTGTGGTAACCTTATTTTTGACTTTCGTATTCGTAACTTTTTCCGATGAATAGTTCAATTGTTAGTGCAACATATAAAATCATGCAGCAAGTCTGCAAAATTCTCTTTCCTTGAAGAGTTATTTGAAATTGTACATAACAATAAATGCTCTTCTTTTTACTTATTAAAAAATTTAGTACAAAATTGCAGAATTGCATTTTATACTTTTAAAGGGAGATACTAATAGATATAGAAATGCTGGAACTTTAATAAATTTTGACTTTAAAATACATGAAAGAGCTGGGAGACACATAGAGGAAACATTAAAATTGAAAGGGTAACCGTTTATTTGTGGTCATAAAATGAATGACAGTCGTTTTAACTAGAGAGCAGTTAGCCCTATATCTTGTACGAGCTGCAGATCAGCTTAAACTAAAGTCACAGCGCATAGTCCTTTTAGATATGGCTGGCCATTCACAATCTGTTATCACAAGAGAATGCAAATGCTCGTATACTACAATTCAATTGGTTCTAGAGCAATACAAAAAACGGGTACATTCTGGACTCCAAAAAAACCAGGTCCAAAGTTAAAAAATAATGAACAAAACAAAAAAAATGTGATAATGATTGCAGATGCAATGAAATTCTTTACTGTTAAGCAAATAAAGACTATTTTATTTCACCAATTTACGATTTCCTTATCCAATACACTAATTGGAACGATTTTAAAAGAATTTCACTACAAATATGCTCAATTAACAAAAGTTCCTAAATTAGAACCTTATCAAATGGAAGCTCGTAAGAAATTTGCTGCCTTCTGGCTTTTACACAGAGATCTGATAAAACATATATTTTATTCCGATGAAAGTAAAAAAAGTGTACAGTCTGAACACTTTGTCACATGGATTCGTATAGATATTCCTAATCTCAACGAAGTTGAGAAGTACGCAACTGGACAAATGTTCTTTTGCATGATAGGAAAAATTTCAAAAGTGACATTTACTTTGTTTCAAATTCAGAAGACAGTCTTGAGTACCAAGAAATTTTAATAAATGATCATTTACTTGAAATGATTGTAGAACATGATCCCGAAGCAATTTTTCAGCAGGACGGCGCCACAATACACACAACTGACTTTAATATTGATAATATTAGATCAAAAATTAGATTAATTGTAAAGTGGCCTTCAGATAGTCCCGACTTGAATGTTATAGAGATGGTTTGGGCGAAAGTCAAAAAGATTTTATACACATGGCATTACATTGATCCGATTAAAGATCAAATTGATCTTCAAAAAAGATTAGTACGAATCTGGAGAGAACAGATAACAATGGATTTTATTAATTCACTTGTTGATTCCTTTTTAATGCGCTGTGCAATTGTCTATGACAACGATGGAATGTCAATTAATTCACTTCCTAAAGGTAAACATCATATTGAACAAAATGAAATAGAAAGAATAATAGGTGAAGTTCAACTCGAAGATGCATACACAGAAGAGGAACTAATTGCTAATGTAATGAGTGAAAGTGAATTGATTACTTATAACAACAATCGAAAAGCTCTCACTGCAGATATTAATATATCTGATCCAGTCGTCGCGGAAAAGATTAAAGATTTTGCTAAATCTTATTTACCAAGTAATTTTCCATTGTTAAAGAAATTAGGAAAAGAATTAGGTACAGAAAATTGGAACCAATTGCAGGATTATATGGGGCAATACCAAGTGAGGTGATCGGCACCATACCACGATCGTCCGACCAACATTTTTAAAGAGCAAAAATTGGATTAGAGAACTCTAAATAGTATAGGCAATCAGAGCGTATTGGTAAGCATATCATATTATGTTATTAAAGAAATCTGGTTTATATAAAAAGTATCTCATTTCGATATTATACTAAATTTCTGAGATAATAGCAGGGTGTATCATATTTGTCCTATATATACGTTTGGCACATATGGTATGTGAATATTTTAAGTATTTATTTGGAATAAATTATGCGATTGTCAAATTTGATCGACAACCATATGTGTTAATATGGTGGTGGTATTTGTATGGTTTACATTATATGTATCAAATGTGATCAGCCGAATTAATGCAAGAATGAGGAAAGATTGCAAATTATTTGTTAGAGTTTTCCTGTCTGAGTGCATAAATGCAGGGTCTTGCCTTGGCACCCTGCACCTATGCACTCAGATCGGGAAAAGCTTGCACTTTTTGACAAGAATGTCACATTCGAAATTTGTTTTCCCAAAGGAGTTTACAATTACAATATACTGTCCTAGTATATTGTAATTGTAAACTCCTTTGGAGAAAAGCTTTCACTTTGTGACAAGAATGTCACATTCGAAATTTTTTTTCCCAAAGGAGTGTCCCGTACCGAAAAGGGTCACTAGAAAAGTGACAAAAAAGTGACACTTACTCTTATTTTTCGCGCCAAAATTCGAAAGGGTTTTTAATATAATAATTATAAGGAATTTTATTAAAAATATGAAATTAAAATATAAAAAATTTAATAGTTAATTTAAGGGTGCCCTATAACGATAATGTAAACATCACAAAATTAACCTTATTAGAACTCGAATGAATGGATTATCCAGATTCTAGTTCTCAATATAATAGCCTTAAAAGTGCTTTTCTGAGGGTGGTTTATCGTCTATAGGGCACCCTTAAGTTTGTTTTTTATTTTTATTTTAGAACTGTTTTCATAGGAATTGAAGGGTGAGAGGTATATAGTATGCCTATATACCTCGCACCCTTCAATTCAAACTCTAAATGGGAGAAACTTTGTTCGTATGTTATCTTATGAAAGCAAAGTTTCTCCCATTTAGAAAGTGAATAGGAGCCTACCAGGCACTGATACATAATCAGTGCTTTGTAGGCTCCTATTCCCTCGAGAAAGTTCGAAAACTTGGTCGCAATTGCATCTGATTGCGACCAAGTTTTCGAACTTTCTGGTAGGAATTGAAGTGTGAGAGGTATATAGTATGCCTATATGCCTCTCACCCTTCAATTCCTTTTCTGAAGCTGGGAAATTTTGTCTGAATGTTAAACTATTCAGACAAAATTTCCCAGCTTCATAGAGGGAATTGGAGCCTACCAGGCACTGATACATAATCAGTGCTTTGTAGGCTCCTATTCCCTCGAGAAAGTTCGAAAACTTGGTCGCAATTGCATCTGATTGCGACCAAGTTTTCGAACTTTCTGGTAGGAATTGAAGTGTGAGAGGTATATAGGCATACTATATGCCTCTCACTCTCAGATTACATTAACGTACATAAAAAAATATTTTTAGATTGATTTTTACTAACCTGAACCTCGGAGTACCGAGGTATTCGTAGATATGATGTAGGCTATTGTTTTAAGCGGTAAGCTCGGAAACTTTTGTTAGATAACTTAGCATTCGAAGTCACTTTTTGAACTTTCTGCGCAAAACTGTAGCCTCGGAGTACCGAGGTATTCGTAGATATGATGTAGGCTATTGTTTTAAGCGGTAAGCTCGGAAACTTTTGTTAGATAACTTAGCATTCGAAGTCACTTTTTGAACTTTCTGCGCAAAACTGTAGCCTCGGAGTACCGAGGTATTCGTAGATATGATGTAGGCTATTGTTTTAAGCGGTAAGCTCGGAAACTTTTGTTAGATAACTTAGCATTCGAAGTCACTTTTTGAACTTTCTGCGCAAAACTGTAGCCTCGGAGTACCGAGGTATTCGTAGATATGATGTAGGCTATTGTTTTAAGCGGTAAGCTCGGAAACTTTTGTTAGATAACTTAGCATTCGAAGTCACTTTTTGAACTTTCTGCGCAAAACTGTAGCCTCGGAGTACCGAGGTATTCGTAGATATGATGTAGGCTATTGTTTTAAGCGGTAAGCTCGGAAACTTTTCTTATATAACTTATCATCCAAATCTACGATTTGCAATGAATCATCAGTAAGTAAATAGTTGTATTAAAAAGATGTAAATACGATAATATTAAGTGTTTATTCGTAATGATTTGAGAATTTGTTGAAAATTTATTGAACTTGCTCGAGATTTTCATTTTCTGAACTCGTCAATGCTTTCCTTAAGGTTTTTTAATTGACCGTCGACTATCCAGAATGGTTCTTGTTCTGGATTTCGATACCAGTGATCATCAATTTCACTGGCCTCGAATTCATTCGGCGTAAAGTAAACGTTCGTTTCAGGATTCACAGGCAAAGAAGAATGGGGCATATTATTGTAAAATCTGATGACCCGTGGAAGATCTGATTCTGACTTGCAGTTTCTTTCCACGTATGGCCACCATCTCTCAATCTTACCATTTGCCTGTGGATTGCCCGGTTGAATGAAAATATGCTCAATTCCACGTTCAACCAAAAGTTGATGAAATGAGCTTTTATTTTCAAGGCCGTTATCGGTCCAAATAGCGTATGGTGGTTGAGGTAGAGTACTTAATGCTCTTTTAAGAACTGCAGTTGTATTTTGAGCTGTTTTTTCGGTAAATAAATTAAAATCTATGATTTTTCGCGATCTGTCGTCTATTATCGCAAACAAATATTTGCCTATTCGTTTCCTCCAATAGTGGATATCAGCATGCCAAATTTGATGACATTTGGATGCTAGATAATTTCGAGGAATGTATTTTTGCTGATTTTTTTGATTTTGAGGGGGAGTATCTGCGATAATCGCTTCGTGTATTTTCCTGCCCATTCTATATGAGGGAGAATCGAAATTTTTTGTAATGTATGTTGCCGTTTGAAGAGATTCGCGTAATGGATTTATTTCAATAGGCGTACCTTCTATTGGAGTCACAACTGGAACTAAAGTTGTGCGGTCAACTTCATCGAGCCAGTTTCCAGACTCATAATTTATTTCTCCATTTTTTTGAATTTCTGATTGAATTTTTTGAAATTCTTCTGGATTCTTCTCAATATTGACAAGGTCTGTTTTCATTTTCTGAATAATTTTATTGATGCCTGCATCGGGCATTAAATCTTTCAAATTTGCATAAGCTTGGCAGGCATCAAGATTAATTTCTATTTGTTTTCTTCCTCTTTTTGGAATTAATTCCGAGGCGTGCTGAACCGTTGGGTGGAAATTGAATACCCACACTTCAGCATGGACCCTTCTGATGGAGATAGACCCAACATGTATATGGATGAATATTAGGACATTAGGTATAGATGAACATATATAGGAATGAGGACCACCTTGGGTCAGCATCAGATATCGAATTTTAGAACCATCTAATTTTCATTCAATATTCTATAGGTGCAATGTATGTTTCCTATATATAAAGGTTTGATAATAGTTAGGTCTCAATATAGATCTTTGGTCCCAATTTATATTATGAATATCATCAATTTGTGTGTTTTTAACATTATGTATTAGTATTGTGTTGATATAATGCTATATTATGTAGTGGTAGGTGTGTCTTGATATAAATTATGTTATTGATCGGGATATGAGTACAAATGCAAGTTATCCCGGGGTGAGGTCAGGGCTATCGCGTCCTAATTCATAGGGAAGGGTTATCATGCCTAGTATGTGTGTGCTGTGCTATCCGTTTGTCCATTGGATGGCACAGCACACACAATCACAAGACAAAACCTCGAAGCGAGAAACAGTTCTTGTAAGGATGTGGTAACTATATACCTATCCTTACAAAAACTTGTATAGTGGAGCAATGTTTCGAATTGCTCCACTTTTCCTCCCATCGAGGTTATCCCGAGGTGAAGTCATAGCAATGGGGCTCATATTGATAGTGCACCATTGCTATGACTTGCACCTTCGTATGGTACTATCCATTATGAATTTTGAAATAATTTTGCAATTGAAATAATCTTAAATTTAACAAAAAGGGCCGAGAAGGGGGTCCTTTCTCAAGGTCAGGGCCCCCTTCTAGTCTTTCTAGAACTGTAATTTGACTTATTTTGCCGAATCTCAGGGAAAACCGTCCGTGATTTGAACGATCTCCTGAGATTCGGCAAATTTGATTGTAAGCGAGGCTCTGGCCTTGCTTGGGCCAGAGCCTGTATTTGTATGTCTTTCAGGGCCGAGTTCCTGCGAGACCGTCGACATGATCGACGATCATCGCAGAACTCGGCCCTGAGGATGAATTTTGCAGGCTCTGGCCTTTGCTTGGGCCAGAGCTTCGTATTTTCTACTTCCCAGGGCCGGATTCCACTCCTGCCGCCCGGGATAAGGGCGCATTTGGGAAAGCCGGCCCTGGGGAATGTAAGCCATGCCCTGGCCTTTGCTATGGCCAGAGCCTGTATTTGCATGTCTTTCAGGGCCGAGAAGAGAGAGAGATCGCCAATGATGTGGACGATCTCCCTCAAACTCGGCCCTGCGGATTGTATTTACAAGCTCTGGCCTCGGAAAAGGCCAGAGCTTCGTATGGACGTTCTCTCGGGACTGGATTCCTCTCCGGCCGCCCCGAATCAGGGCGGTCTTTGAGGAAGCCGGCCCCGAGGATTGTTTGCGAAGCTCTGGCTTTTCCTGAGGCCAGAGCTTGTAATTTTCATTCAAAGCCAAGTTCCTCTCGGATCGTGCCTAATGAGGACGACCGTCGAGGAACTTGGCTTTGAGGAGATGAATTGCGAACTCTGGCCTCGGTGAAGGCCAGAGTTTTTAAGTGAATGTTTTGATGGGATGAGCCTATGCTCAGTAAGCTCGTCCCATCAAAACATTCGTTTAAAAATTGAATTAAAAATTATCGTATGCATTCAAAAATTAAAACAATTAATATGTATAATATTATTATGTAATAATAATAGAATAAAATATATATAAAATTATGTAAAATTTTCAAAAAATATTGGAAAATGGAATTTTGAAAGAAAAAATAAGAGTTTGTATATGAAAAATTGATATTAGAAAAAATCTAGATTAGTAGAGTTAGATTATTTAGAATTTAAATGAGAAATGAATTATGAAAAAGGAAGATTAGAAAGAATTGTATATTTAAATTTAATAAAATGAAGGAATCGAACTAAGGAGTTTACAATTACAATACAATAGGACAATATATTGTAATTGTAAACTCCTTTCGAGAAACGATTTTCGAATGTGACATTCGTGCCACAAAGTGAAAGCTTTTCTCGAAAGGAGTTTACAATTACAATACAATAGGACAATATATTGTAATTGCAAACTCCTTTCGAGAAACGATTTTCGAATGTGACATTCATGTCAAACAATTAAGCAAATTTCTTATCTGAGTACATGTATGCAGGGTGCCATGGAAAGACCCTGCATATATGCACTCAGATCGGAAACTTTGTTCACGATGTCACATCGTGGAACAAAAGTGGACAATATTCCCGATCTGAGTACATGTATGCAGGGTGCCATGGAAAGACCCTGCATATATGCACTCAGATCGGAAACTTTGTTCACGATGTCACATTGCGGAACAAAAGTGAGAGCAAACCGAACATTTTAACCACATTATAAGTTTATGTAAGGATAAAAATATAAATTCCCTGTCCTTGCACAAACTGTTGCTCGCTACGAAGTTTTGCTTTGTGATTGCGCGTGCAGAATCATTTTAAGCACATTTCAATAGCACAGAGCACATATAATATATGAATAAAACAATTTTATAACCTCATAATATAAAAATAAATGTTTTGAGTTCGCTAGGGATGCGTTAAACACGCCATTTGACCGGGCGTACATTTTTTTTGTTCGCCCAAAAATTTCGCCATTTGAGAAATTCAAAAATTAAAAATAAAATTTTAATCTTGATTTTTTTATTTTCGTGATTTTTTTGAAACTTACATAAGCGATGAAATACTTTTTTTTAAGTAATCGTTTATTATATATAAATATATCTTAATAAATTTAATTCCTTAAGGTAGAGCGTGTTCAAATTTAAAATCTCATACAATATTTTCTTAATGGCGTATTTTTCTGAGGTCGCCCAAATAAAGGCGAATTCAAAATTGAGAACTCCAAGGCGTATGGCGAGTATTCAAAATGTACGCCACTTACAAAATATTGAATGTGGATTATCAATTTTTTGGCGTGTTCAATTTCAAATTTTGATATTTATGTTTATTTTATTCAGTATAATGCTAAGAATTAAAATATAAAATTCATAGAATTTTTTCTTTGAAAATATTTTACATTTTTATTAGACCACTCCTAGACTAGTCATCAGGTTATCCTCAGATCATCCTCAGACTACTCCTTATCAGATTACTCATCATCCTCAGACTACTCCTTAGACCCCTCCTCATCAGACTACTCCTCAGATCTTCCTCATAAGACTCCTCCTCAGATCTTCCTCCTGAGACTACTCTTCAGACTACTCCTTAGAGTCCTCCTCATCAGACTACTCCTGAGACTAGTCCTCAGACTACTCCTGAAACTACTCCTCAGATTATCCTCAAACTACTCCTCAGATTATCCTCAGATTATCCTCAAACTACTCCTCAGTCTAATCCTCAGACTCCTCCTCAGATTATCCTCAAACTACTCCTCGGTCTAATCCTCAGACTCCTCCTCAGATTATCCTCAAACTCCTCAGACTACTCCTCAGATTATCCTCAAACTCCTCAGATTATCCTCAAACTCCTCAGACTACTCCTCAAACTACTCCTCGGTCTAATCCTCAGACTCCTCCTCAGATTATCCTCAAACTCCTCAGACTACTCCTCAAACTCCTCAAATTATCCTCAACCTCCTCAGACTACTCCTCAAACTCCTCAAATTATCCTCAACCTCCTCAGACTACTCCTCAAACTCCTCAGATTATCCTCAAACTCCTCAGATTATCCTCAAACTCCTCAGACTACTCCTCAAACTACTCCTCGGTCTAGTCCTCAGACTCCTCCTCAGATTATCCTCAAACTCCTCAGACTACTCCTCAAACTCATCAGATTATCCTCAAACTCCTCAGATTATCCTCAAACTCCTCAGACTACTCCTCAAACTCCTCAGATTATCCTCAAACTCCTCAGACTACTCCTCAAACTCCTCAAATTATCCTCAACCTCCTCAGATTATCCTCAAACTCCTCAGACTACTCCTCAAACTCCTCAGATTATCATCAAACTCCTCAGACTACTCCTCAAACTCATCAGATTATCCTCAACCTCCTCAGATTATCCTCAAACTCCTCAGACTACTCCTCAAACTCCTCAGATTATCCTCAAACTCCTCAGACTACTCCTCAAACTCATCAGATTATCATCAACCTCCTCAGATTATCCTCAAACTCCTCAGACTACTCCTCAAACTCCTCAGATTATCCTCAAACTCCTCAGACTACTCCTCAAACTCCTCAAATTATCCTCAACCTCCTCAGATTATCCTCAAACTCCTCAGACTACTCCTCAAACTCATCAGATTATCCTCAAACTCCTCAGACTACTCCTCAAACTCCTCAGATTATCCTCAAACTCCTCAGACTACTCCTCAAACTATCAGTCTATCCTCAACTCCTCAGATTATCCTCAAACTCCTCAGACTACTCTCAAACTCATCAGATTATCCTCAAACTCCTCAGATTATCCTCAAACTCCTCAGACTATCATCAACCTCCTCAGATTATCCTCAAACTCCTCAGACTACTCCTCAAACTCCTCAAATTATCATCAACCTCCTCAGATTATCCTCAAACTCCTCAGACTACTCCTCAAACTCCTCAGATTACTCCTAAAACTCCTCAGACTACTCCTCAAACTCTCAGATTACTCCTCAAACTCCTCAGATTATCCTCAAACTCCTCAGATTATCCTCAAACTCCTCAGATTATCCTCAAACTCCTCAGACTACTCCTCAAACTCTCAGATTATCATCAAACCTCCTCAGATTATCCTCAAACTCCTCAGACTACTCCTCAAACTCCTCAGATTATCCTCAAACTCCTCAGACTACTCCTCAAACTCCTCAGATTATCCTCAAACTCCTCAGATTATCCTCAAACTCCTCAGACTACTCCTCAAACTCCTCAGATTATCCTCAGATTATCACTTTACATATATATATCGATAACTAAATAATTACTTATTATACTTTCTTTATTTTTTTTTAATTTTAAAATAATATTAATATATCTTTCTACGTTTAATGATGAAAAGAGAAAGAGGAGTAAAAAGAGGAAAGAGAAAAGAAAGAGAGAGAGAGAAAAAAAAAAAGAGAAAGAAAAAAAGAAAAAAAAGGACGGCGATAGTTTTGTATTGTTTTGTTATTCGGCCGAATGGCGGCTACTTCGTACCCGCCATTCGGCCCCAAAAATGGCGTATTATTCTATTTTTAAACGGTCATGGCGTAAAACCGTCGCATCCCTATAATAGAAAACCAAAAACTTGATTTTTTTTGAAATAGAAAATGTTTTATTTTTCATTCAAAACCATTTTTGCTTGAAAGCTATGTGAAATCGCTCAATTTAAGTCGATTATTATTCTTCAATTCTCTCATTTTTTAATATTATACGAGATTTCGTTCTTAAATAGATCCTTTTCACTAATTTAAATCATCTAGTTTCTAAATGTTTATTATTCATACAAATTCTATGATTTGAGCAGAAAGTGTACGTTTAAAAATGTTTGGGGGCGAAGTTTCGCCAACATTAAGAGACTTATGCGAGAAAAAATCAAGGATAAGAAAGTTGAGATGGACGCTCATATTTATAATTTGCAAGATGAAAATACGAAAAAGACAAAAGAACTTCAGATGAAAATCCAATCTCTTCGAGAAGAAGAAGAAAAACTCAAAAATAGTGACAAATTAGTTCAAATTCCAGAAACTCGAAATAGAAAAGTTTAAAAACAAGCAAAAGAAGAATTAATCAAGAAAAGGCAATTTTTAAATAATCGCATTGAAGAATTAGAGAGTATCGTTCAGAAACAAGAAGAGACTAAAAATTCAACTGAAGATCCAGCAGCAGCACTTACACTTTATAAATCGATAGCACCAATAACAATTTCTTCGGCAAACCAAAATCAAATTAGCGGTATGATCGCTATGGAACTATCGATTCTACATGTTTCTTCTCTTACAATATGGATGATTTGACCCAAAATCAGAATGATTTGTGGAGTAAGATAGATGAGAATCGGAAGAAAGCTCAGCTATAAGTAAAAAATTTTGTTTGTTGTTTTACCATTCATTACTTTTTACAAAAACTTAATGAATTAATATTATTACATATTAATAACGTTTACACAACTAACACTAACATTCATTACATATCTTAGCATACTAAGAGAATAAAAAAAAAACAGTAAATATATAAACAAACATATTTATTCCAATTTTGTATAATAAGACAATCGATTAAGATTGTGATTAAAATTGTAGAGATAGGTGATGTATATGATTTTGGTGAATAGACATACTTGAAATTTAAAACGTCTTAAAACTAAAAACGTGGTTGGCATTTGGCTGGGTAACTTGTTTGTTAAAGTCATAATAATCCATGCAAATAGCTCTTAACTCCTTTGCAGGAAGGAATTGTGTTGCATGTTCGTTATACCACTGGAAAATCATAGATAATACGATTTCTTTATTTTCTGACTGTGGGTAATAGCGACGGATAGCTTCAAAAAGAATTATTTGATTATCAGGAGAGAGTTTGTCTATTAGACTTGGTTTTTAAACGATTATTTTTAATTCAAAAATCATCAACTTCTAAAACTCTCTATTCCCAATCAATTCTACATTTGATAACCCTAAAAGAACGATATCTATGATATGGTTAAGGAGAATATTGCTATGTTATTTACAATAGCTATATTTTTTCGAATCAAATTGAAAAATTTGTTGAAATTAAACAGAATAGATAAATACAAACATTTATAATATAATTACATACAATAAAAACATATAAATTACTTAGGCTGAAGTCGAATCTGGCGAATATTACTTCGAATTGTTCTCATATCGCCCATCATGAACTCATTCTTCATGCTGTAGTATGAAAACAGTGGTAAAAGAACTCTTTCAAGATAAATCAACTCTCGTTTCGGGTTTGCAAAAGCTGAAGGATCGAAAGGCGAAACTAACCAAGGTTCTGCACGACTAAGGATACTAAGAGACTTTCCAACGAATACCTTTGCTTCATCTGACTTTTCCCAGCCTTTATCTGAAATAAATCTAACTCTTGCAATAACTTCAAGTTCTTGTTCCATTTTCGGGCCAATTGAGTAATAGGAAAATAGACGAGCGATATGCTTTGCACGATCAATGCTTAATCCATTTCCAATTCCGAAATTAGAATTAAAAACAGCAGCAACGTAAGGAGCTCCATAAAGACTTGAATTTGAGTATAAATCTATTAGGTAATCATCTGCCTTGATTCTCCAAAAGTTTTCCAAGAGAACTATAGTATGCGAGGTTGTCTTTCAATTACAAATTGCTTTTACTGATTAAATTTAATCAATAGAAGACATTTTGAAAAGGTACCTCTACAATTATGTTCCGTACCGAAATGCATCACTAGAAAAAGTGACAAAAAGTGACACTTACTCTTATTTTACGCGGCAATTTTTCTAAGTTATTTTGTTAAGCTAAATGTGTTATATATCAAATCAGCTTTATAAATATTATAGAAAAGTTTATTTTTATTTTTAATTATTATTATTATTATTTTTTAAATTAAAAGAAAACATTAGAATTATATGGATATATTTAAATTAATTAGAATTATATGGATATATTTAAATTAATTATAAAAATAAAATTGAATATATTGAAGTTTGAGTTTATAGGTATACAAATTTTAGAGGCATTTTGGCTGAGAACTATGGTCTGCGAGGTACATGGATAGAATCAGTACCTCGCAGACTATAGTTCTCTATATGGCGCCGAAAATTTTTGGTGAAATGTCGTCGCATTTCACCAAAAATTTTTCGGCGCCATAGGAAGAATTGGAGGGTGTGAGATACTATTACATGCTATAGTACTCACGCCCTCCAATTCTTAGCCAAAACGGCTAAAAATTGCTCACAATTGTTGAAATTGTGAGCAATTTTCAGCCATTTTGGCTGAGAACTATGGTCTGCGAGGTACATGGATAGAATCAGTACCTCGCAGACTATAGTTCTCTATATGGCGCCCAAAAAAAATTTATGATTGTTTTTTATCAAATCTTATCCATATTATTCTATTAATGTTAATTATATTTTATCAATTATATTTTTTAAATAATAAACACAAAATCCACTAATTTAAAATTGGCGCCAAATGTCACTTTTGCTAGTGATGCATTTCGGTATGATATAGTCGAACTTCAAAATAATTAATGATTATTATTAAGAGAATAAAATTTCTCTTTGTCTTTTCATACACAACTTTCTAAAAAGTTGCATTCACTATGTATTGTTTTCTATATGTTTAAATGTTTATTATTGTATATTAATATAACGTGAAATTTTTAAAAATTATATAATAATTCATGTACTATACCCCATGCATTTTTTTTAAATTTATTGATGTTTTTTAATTATAGAATTTTGGGTTTAAATGTCATGATTGAATGGTTCTAAACGTGATATGATTAAAATCTGCAACATAACCTTCATTTCAGATGTTAAAGCTTAATTTTCAATGATACGTCAATCCAGGTGTCAAATGAGCTTAAGGGCAGCCTTAAAAATTTGTTTTTTATGTTTCCATTTCCGTTATATTATGCAATTTTCATATTTTTCCTCTTAAGACGCTTGGATATGAAAAAAAAAATGCAAAAATAAAAATAAATCTGATTCACTTTGCATTTACAAAACATATGCGCCAAACTTCTTATTATTAATATTGTGTGCTTTAGAGAACTTGTTTCTACTGTTACAGTCTCATCTCTCAACATTTTCCTAGGATGTTCCAATTTGAACATAAAAGGCTCTAAAAGGCTGTATTTGAGCATATTCTTGTAGTATTCACTCTCTAAAACTTGAAGTTATGATATCAACAAATCGGGTGTACACAACTGCTGTTCAAAGGCAGTGAAAAAGTCATGCATGATATTGAAAAAGATCAATAATCCATATATTTCTTAGTATGCCTTTAAAAGTCTTGAAATAAATTTCGAAAAATGAAAAATGAGACAATTAGCCAATAATTTTTATATTAAAAAGTGTAGGATATATAAGGTGTTTAAATAATATGTTAAAGGGGAAAAAAATAAAAAAAAATTAAAAAAATGCACATAGTATTAGTAATAAATTTTAGGAAAAATCTTCTCTTATGAATTTATTTGAATGCATTGAATTGAAAATGAAAAATTTTTATATTTTTTTGGAAAAAAAGTATTGTGATATAACAATAACTAAGTTTATTAATAATACGTTAAAATTGCCTCAAAAGTAATTGAATGGTTCACAATCTAGATTTTGTGAGTACTTGATACGGTCTTAATTCTATCGGCGCGAAGCGCCGATAGAATTAATTGAAAAAATAAATTTAAATACATTGTCAGCTAAGACTTTTGATTGAAGAAATAATAAATACATTATTATGTAAAAATTGATATTATAATAAAATAAGAAGTTTGATGAAAAATTTAATCATAATTTTTAATAAACATAAATTTTATTAGTATTTCATATATATGCATCCATACATGTATTTGATATTATATCCACCGAGATCCTGTTCGTAGGACTTGCAGATAACGCTAGACTGTTTTAGCGTGGATTTTCATTGAGATGCAACTTGGAAAAAATTGAAAATCTGGATTTGAACCTTCGACCTCTACGGTCAAAAAACGGTTCCACGCTAAAACAAAATCCACGTTAAAAACCCCCCATACTGTTTTGAAGAAAAGTTTTTAATTCATATGCTGAAGATTAAGAATTTTTTTAGTAGAGTTTGTGGGCATGGGCTGCTGTTGGATAATGGGGCTTCCAATGATTGTTTGTTTCAGCCTCCTGAAGACCAAGTTTAGCCTTGGCACCAGCAACTAAAGCTGGACGAATGTACTTTGTCCAAGCGCTGTTTGATTCAGCTTCCTGAAGACCAAGTTTAGCCTTGGCACCAGCAACTAAAGCTGGACGAATGTACTTTGTCCAAGCACTGTTTGTCTCTGCATCTTGAAGGCCGAGTCTAGCTCTTGTTGAAGAAAGGATGACTGGGCGAAGAACTTCTGTCCAGTAGCTGTTCGCTTCGTTCTTCTTATGTCCAAAGTAGGCCTTTGTTCCCTTTATTAAGATTGGGCGAATTGTTTCTGTGAAATAACTGTTAGCCTCTTGTTTCTTAACAGAGAACTGCTTCTGAAGTCCTTTAAGGGAAATTGGACGAATCAACTCTGTCCAGTTGAGAGGACGCCACATTGGAAGAGTTTTATTAGTAGCAATATGATGAGCAATGATTTTAGCCAAGCGCGAAATATTGATGTGTGTTGCGTTTGGAAGGTGCTTTGGAAGTTGGAAGTTGGATTCTTGTTCTTGTAAACGAATTAAATCTTTGTAAATTGGACCATCAATTATATGTGAAGGGAGAAAGTCTTTCCAGTTGAAGTTTTCTTCTGGTGTCTGACGGAAGTAATGCTTCTGAGGTCTTGAGGGGAAATAGTGCTCTGAGTATGGAACTCTAACCACTCTTGATGAGAGCGCGAGAGCCGAGAGTGCAAATAGCATTTTGATTTTTATGTTCAGAAAAAAATTCAAAGGCGTTAGATTTTTTCAATGAAATATAGGTCTGTTATTTTGGATTAGTGATGTTATTTGAAAGGGAAATTAAATTTAAAATAATTTAGTTTTGTCATTTGTCATGAATTTGACGGACAATTGAGTAATTATCGATTAAGGCAATCAAATTGTTTATTATTGTTGAAAGACACATGTTTCATTGTTTCCTTTAAAGCGAACAGAATTCGACCGATAACATTTCTGAAGAAAAACATTTTCATACAGTCGAATACTGATAATGAAATCTTAGAATGAATCGATCACAATTTTGGAATGCCTTATTCAAATTAATTTCATGAATTGAAATTCATTTTACTCATATATTTGGTGCCCTGAGTTGATGTTGATTTTTGAGAAAGGATGCTTTTATGCAAAATAAGGTTTAAACCTTAATGGTCAGTAGGATTTTATAGGGCGGCGTCAATCGTTGCATTGTCGCAGGAAAAAAATATTTCCCTCCAAATTTGATAAAGGTTCAACAGAAAATAAGGTATCGTTCCAGATCTGGAAAAATTTAGCTGTTACTTTCAGATTAAATTAATAGAATTTATAAGCAGTTTATATTATGATTAATATATTGAGTGAGATCGGATCATGATTTAGTATTTAAGTAATTTTGGCCTTTTCAATGATTCTCCTAAAGAAAACATGGATAAAACTGTTTTATGGATCATATCATTCGATTATAATGACTCTTGAATTCAAAAATTAAACCTTTTTGTAATTTTCCATAAATTATACTCCCTCTTAAAATTGAGAAAACTTATTGAAAAAATTGAATTGAAGCTGAAAATTGTAAATTTTGATTTAATATTCAAATTTCAAGTTATAATGATGAATAAATATTTATTATAATATGCAAACGAATAGAAATTTAATAGATACAAACATAAAAACAAATTAATAAAATACAAATTATTATCTTTGTAAAGATGGCTTTCCCATCTTCTTCATATCCTTCAGTGGATCTGATTTGTTAAAGTTAAGTTGAATATCAGCTAAAACTCTTGCCAAATTCAGAGATTTCTCGTTCTTTGCAGCGCTTCTTGCAATAGAAGCCCAAGATTTGTGAATTGTTGCATCAGAAACTCCGTCATCATCTGTTTTTTCCTTCTTTGACTGTGCAATTTCGTCAAAAACAAATGGATCTAAATCATGCATAGCTTTCATTGCGTTTAAAGCTGCAGATTTTGTACTTGCTCGCCAATGATCCTTCATTATCTTCTGGTAGACAGGATAAACAACTGGATATATTGCTTGTGTGTTATCTGTGATAATTTGCAAAATTTTCAGATTCGACCAAATTCGAAATGTTGCTTCAGTAACTTTGGCATGGAGAGTTGACATTGCGAGTCTGGAATAGAGTTTAAAGATTGGCACGCACATGTATCCGAAATCTTCCGCATTTAATTGTTCAATCAAGAAATTCATCAAAATAAGGTAAGAAATTTGTTTGGACGGTCTTGATTCTGGCCAATGATGGAACATGACTCGAAGTGTCTTCTTAGGAATATCTGGATCCATTGTATAAATTGTTTCAGCAATATCCATCATTGGAGGGTAAACTGTTAAAATATGCTGGCAAGAAATGAGTGGGATGATATCTGTATTCCAAAATCGTGCCATGTAATCAGTAAGTTTAACAATCTTGAGTTGTTCATGATATAATCTCAAAATTGGTGTAACACAGAATGGTAAATCTCCTTCCATGTATTCGATTAACTTGTATGATAAATCATTAAAGAGGCTTTCGAACTGATCTGGAAAGTTTTTGAGATATTCCATATAAAATTGGAAAATTTGATCTCGTTCGTTAGGATCAGCGCTATTTATAATTGTAAGGATCGTCTTACGCATATCATGAAGTCTTTTATCTGTTGTGTTTAACTTTATCGTATTAAATAAGATTACATAGACTAATTGAAGATGTGGCCAATTAATATCAAATATGAGAGGTTCATCATCATACCACATGTACTTTTTAGGTATTGAAGGTATGCATCTTGTAAGATTTGCTGTGATCATACCATAAATTGCATTAAAGGCTTCATCAGTGAGATAATCTGGTGAGGAATTTGCAAGAGCATCACCAATTTCTTTCAAGGTATTTGTTTTGAGTGGTTTGGCTGATACATCGGATTCATTATCTGAAAAATCACAAAGAACACAACATTGCTGGCATTTCTTAATAAGTAAATCAAGATTATTTGCTGTAATTCTATCTCCAAGTGAAGGAAGTTTTTCAAATTGAACGTTCGTATGATATATATGCTTTGTAACTTCAACTGTATATAGAGCATTTGGAACACCTTCATCAGCAATTGGCTCATCGCCCTTTGGAGTTGTTGAATCATTATAATCGGTAATCGGTTTGAGAACTTGTTGATTTGTTGTATGATATGCCAATTGAGAAAGTGTTGCTGAAATGCTTTCGATTTTTTTACATGAAAGTCTTGATTTTTTATTGCTTTTATAGCGCGCAGATATCATTAAAAAAATTAGTATTGAAAACTTATTAAAATTTTTAATAAATATTTTTGGTTATTTTATAAAATGGGGTGTTTTAAAGTAGAATATAAAGATTATATTATACAATCAGATTCAATTAATTGAGAATATCGTCTTCAAATCAATTGTGAAGATTAATTTTCAAGTTATGCAATAGATTAGCTAATTAAAAGAATTCTGAAATATCTAATTTTTTATGAATTTTTAAATTCTCTATTTTATAAATCATTAATATTTGCTCCATCATATTTTAAATTAAAATTTTTCAATATGAAGTATACTCGAATAATTAAGAATTATTAATTAAATCATGAAATACAGTAATGTGTGCAAAAGCAATAAATTATTAAACGATAAACTTTTGAATTTGTTCTCAAAACTTTGGCAATTAATTCTATCCATGCTGCGGAAGGAAATTTGAAAGCATTCTATTGTAATAATATATGGAACGTCGAACAAAAAAAATGAAGTTTTTTTTCATTTTTCATTTTTCATTTTTATCGGTGTGCAGCGCCGGTATAAAATTAGTTTGACAAAAGGATCATTATGTGGCCAAATAAGATTCACCGAAATGGTAGACATTGTACAAGAACACTATAAGTCTCAAAATTAACAAAAATAAATTTTGAGAGAATCAGGAAATAAAATTTAAAAAAAATCTTACTCAGTATATATTGTACTGTAGTATTTTTTGACTTCAGCTTAAGTTTTTTGAGAGCAAAATTGCATGTGAAAAAATATGTTACTTCATTTCACCCAATTTGAATGAATCATTTCACCAAACCGCAAAATTTTCAATTGAAGTGAAGTAATATATTTTTGCGTTTTGACTCATGAAGAAAGTTCACAGATAAAAAAAATAAGTTGATTGTGTTTATGAGATGCTTATTCACCTAATTATAAGATAAGAAATAGTAGTCAAAAAAATCATGGGAAGTGACTTGATTTTCAAAAAATCATTTTATCATGACAACTCAAACTTGTTATGATCATGATCCACGCGTTCAGGCAATATATCAGGCTGGCCGTGGTGGTAATGGTACTTGCTGGATCTTAAAGATAGATGATCACTATAGAGTTCTAAAAAGACTTTTCAATCGAGATGGAACTAAAACATCTGAAATGTTTGAGAATGAGTTGAAATTCAAATACCACTCTCTCCAATATTCTATGATAACTCACAAAAACATCCTGGCGAACGTTTTAACTGGATTTTGATGGATTATATTCCAGGTATCACTATAACGAAGTTAATCAGCGGCGGTTGCGTTGGTAATCGTATTAAAAAGTTATGCATGCTCGAAATTTTCGCTGCAATTGCTTCCCAGTTGACTTTGATGAAAGAAATGGAAATAAAGCATCGTGACCTTAAACCAGACAATATTGTCGTTGATGGTGATATGATTCCTCACATTATTGATTGGGATGATTCTACAGACAGATTTTCGTTATCTATTAGTGAGCGTCACGGAACAATTCCATTTGCTGCTCCAGAAATCTTTTCCGCACAGAGAAGATGCGAATCTGATATTTTCTCATTCGGAGCTATCATGTTTAATATGATTACAGGACGTTATCCATTTTACAGTGCATACAGGACAAGAGCAGGCTTACAATCTCTTGCTGATAAATTCTCTGAACTCCAATTACCTAACCTCGCTGAAACATTAGACGTTCTTGCAGAATTCGAACAAATGGATGATTCAGAACAATACAACCATTGGCCAACGGTTGTTTCATACGTTGAGCCTATCCTTACAGAATTGATCAAAGCAGGCGCTCGAGATGACTATATCTATAATGAAAGATTCCAAAACGATCCGTTCAACAGAAAAATTTCTGAGTTGATTGAATTATGTTGCAAGCAAGAACCCGACGGCAGAATCACACCAGAGGATCTCCACGATAGGATTTATAATCTTGCAAAAGAAATTTTAACAGATCCAAATGAATTGGATCAGTACAACAAATATGGCGATTATTTGTTTTCACTCCAGCAACAGGAATATGGCACAAAAGAAATGATCGATAAAACTAAAAGGTTGGGTTTTTACGAAAATGATGAAACACTATTAAGAATCATTCAAGCAGAAAATCCAAGATTTGAAGCGCCAAGATCCTCTGTGTTTGCCGCTTTCGTTCAATCATTAGCTCCAACTAATTAGGTAAATAATTATTTTATTTCTTTTTCTTCTTTCTTTTCCTTTTTGCACTTTCAACATCATACCACTTCTTTCTTATATGTATATTTAAAATAACACTTTCATCAATAGTTTATATTTCAATTATCGTAAGAAGTGTAGATTGTTATTCTTTCAAACTGTTTCAACATTCAAATGGTAATTATATGTAATTGTTTTCTTTATATATGTATATACTTGAGTATGCAAGAGTTCGAATACAAAAAGTATTATCTTATGAAATTTCTCAAATCACAAAAGTAGAAACATTCAGAGCTGTCAAAAAAAAAAAAAAAAAAAAAAAAAAGGTATTGGGGCTTCCAGGGCTGCGCCCCTCTAGCCCCCTGAAGATGTTTAGTATAACAAGTAAGGGTCTATCGTCGCTACGTCACCAGGTCCCTCGGTCCCTCGGTCCCTCGGTTAAACCAACTTCTCTGAAAAAATGAGACAACATGACATTTTGACAACAGTCCAGGAAGTCTTAACAAGATAGAATATGAGAGAGGTCCTATAAACCGGAGAAAGTCTCATATAAACATCTGTCAAAAGCCGCTTTTTAACTTCACTTAAATGCCACGTAAGATACGTAAGAATATACGTAAGAGGAAGAGAGCATTGAAACATCCAATAGTAAGACTAACACCACAACAACAGTTGCAACAACAAATGCTGAATGACCCCACTATGTTGCAACAAATGTCAAGCAATCCTATGCTTTTAAACCGAGTTGTTGGTGCACAGAGTGGAGGTTTAAGAGCGGCACTTTTAGCGAAAATGGCAGGCTATGGTGGAGCTGCAGACGGAACAGCCTATAACCCTCAAAGTCAAATGAATTTGAGTTCACTCAAAAATCAAATAACAGATGTCAAAAAGTCAAACATAGACATACAGAAACAAATAAGTGAAAACGAAAAGAAACTAGAATATGACAGACACACAAAGAAACTCAATGAGTTAAACGTAGAGAAAAAAGAAGAAAGAAGAACAACTGAAAGAACTAAGTACAGAGGAATATGCGAAAAAAGTGTCAGAAAAAGCAGCAGAAGTAGCAAAAATGGAACAAGATGTCATAAATTTGAAAAACCATACTACTCAATATAAAATACTGAAAGATGAAGAGATAAAACAAAAAGCCCTGAAGACATATATGGATAGCGATGAGTATAAAAAAGAAGTTGAAGCAAATGTAAAGGCAGAAAAACTTTTACAGTTGCAAAACCAAACCGTACAGTATGAAAACTTAGCACAAGAAAGTAAAAATAACGACGCAGCCATGCAAAAGGCAATGAAAAGCGCAGAATATATAAAAGCTAACAATGACTGGTTAGATGCCCAAGCCAACGCTAAAGCAGCCCAGCTTATAGGGTCAATAAGGACAAAAATACAAGCGGATGAAGACAGTTCAAATGAAGCTTTAACAAATGCTGACTTTAAGAACGCCTTCGAAGCTCTTCATAGTAAGGTGAAACAAGTGAACGACTTCTCATCTGGAAAGAAACTGAAGTCTGAAGGTTTCGACAAAGAGTTAAAAGAAGTAGCACAAAATATGACGAAAATAACAGATGCAGCAACGAGACAGGCAGTTCAAAGTGCCTATGACGCCGTTAGAGCAACTGTTGTGGAAAGTCAAGAAAAAGAGTTACAACAGACCAAAACAGACCTAGTAAATGCTTTCTTAAAACGAAAAGTCAGGTAGGACATTACGCTGCAGATGGAACATATGTGCCAGCTGGTGGAACTTATATACCACCAAACCCTCCAAGAGAAGCACCTGCACCAGGACTACCTAAAACATTTACATCGTCACATGGACATAGACACAGGCATGCACCAAAACCAACACAACAACCAACAGTTCAAAACCCTGCACAACAACCACCTCCACAACCAACACAACAACCAACAGTTCAAAATCCAGCACCACAACAACAACCAAAACCAACAGTTCAAAATCCAGCACCACAACAACAACCAACAGTTCAAAATCCAGCACAACCAACAGTTCAAAACCCTGCACAACAACAACCACAAACAGAGCAAGGACATAAAAGAAGTAGAGAACAAGGAAACCAAGAATTCTTAAAAATGCTTAAAGAAGAGTGTGGTTTCCCAGATACTGTTGACTTTAGTGACAGATATAAAGAAGCTATTGGAAAGTTCAAGGATGGAAATACTGACCCGAACCTATTTAGCTTTATGGCTCAGCACCAAAACGGATATAATCTCAAACCTGGAAAATACAAGCTCGCTAAGGGATATGATTTAATAGCATATCATCCAAATGACATGGATGAATTTACTCCGAGATATTTGATGTCAGAGCTAAATGACAATTCAACTTTCGTCATGAAACGCGTAAAAAATAGAGACGGAACGAAAGAACAAAAGCTTATGAATGCGGATGACGTAGATAGGGAAATTGTTGAAAACGGTCTCGGAATATATGAAATGCCAGCAGATGAGGTACAAGAAACTCCACAGGAAGAAGTTCAGATACAACCAGACATGGAAGAAATAGTTCAGCAACAACAGCTAGAAGAGCCTGAAGGAAACGAACAAGTCCTTCCTTTGGAAACTAACTTCACAGAACTAGATGAAGATTTGGAACAGAAAAATCTTGACCCTCAACAAGAGTATGCGGAGAATATGGAATATTTCCAAGAGTCTAAAAAAAATTCGGCTGACATAGTAGAAGAATATCGAAAAATGTTTGCCGACATACAAAAGACTCCAACATCAGATGAAAATATCCAGCATAGAATGGAAGAACTGAAAAAAAATGTACACAAATACAACAACCCTTTTTACTTACGAGCATTTAACGTTCAATCTTCGGATGAACTCGGTGAAAATAAAAGGTTAAATTTCAAGAAAACATATAGAAATGAAACATTGTTTAAAGTTCATTCAGAACCTAACCAAGATGGAAACAAACCTACTTTTGTTTCTGCAGACGATGGAACTACAATGAGATGGGGTCATAAAGCTAACCCGGATAGGTGGTTCATAAACTTACAACACACAATTCCAAGAAGTTGTAGACGCAATGGAATTGAATGGTGAACGAGATATAGCTGGTATTTTAAGCGCGGCTTTAATGCCATTGAAAGATATGAAACATGCAGATATTTTGAACCAGTATGAAATGAACATGGCTGATGGAAATATAACACCTGACGTTCTAGAACATTTATCTCAAAGAACTACACAGAACCATAGAGATGGTATATTTGGTGAAGAGTTTAGAAAGAAAGTTAGGGAGAGAGAAGGAAGAGAACCTATTGTACATGACCTTGCAAACGAAAGTTTACAAAATGTCATAAAAACTTACTTTGCAGACAATGAACTGAGAAGGGATGAATATTTAAGAAAACTCAAATGGACAGTACCAAATGAAATGTTAGTATTGAAAAACATGTTCCTTGACAAAATAAAACCAACTACAGAAATAAACGACGCAAGACTGAAAGATTGGGTAAAAGCTTTCCCATTCACAAAAGATATAGTTGGTAACATGGAAAGAAAACCAGAATGGCTACAAAAACATATATTTGGAAACGAGCTTATTCCATATGGACAGGCACTGTTTGAAGCGCTTGAACCGGAAACTCAGGAAAGAGTCATGCAAACAATACGCGAAGACTCAAATACAGACTATGACAAACTCTTTCTAGGATATAGGTTACCTGAGATGGGCGACCAGAGCCAAAAGGCAAAAAGGACATGGGAAATTTGCAACATACTAGATGAACATAATGCAAAGATGCAACAACTTCAAGCAGAGGGCAATGAAGGAAAAAGAAGAGTTAAAAAACTCAGTCAGGAAGAAAGTAAAGCTTGGTTCGAGTGGGTTCTATTATGACATATAAATCCAACTATTCTATATTTTTACTCATATGAAATGTACGCCGCTCAGAATATAACGCCAACAGTTTTGGATGCCATGAATGGAAATTTTCCGAATGGTATAACGAATGCGACAATGCCATTAGAAGGTCAGAAATAGTTCCTGGAACTTACGAATATACAACTGCTGTTTCTTATGGAAACGTAGGTGAGTTTGGAGAAGGTTCTTCAACAACAGTAGATATTGCTTGCGACAGGTTTCATATAATTTCTATTGACAACTCTTTCTTATACGTGGAACAAGACATTGAAATAAAACCTTCTGCCAAGTTGTCTGACAAGAAAGGTTGCAATGGAATTTTCTATGTCGGATACCAATATGCTCCAGAAGTTTTCATGGGATATAAGATATATTCTAACTCTGACTTAGTTCAAACAGTAACATGGGCAAACTATGAATGGTTCGCTTTGAGAAAACTCAGTACAACCACAAGCTAGAGAACAAACAGACCAGTATGCAACTATTGAGAAAATAAGAAGACTTGACCCTAACGTTCCAGGAGTTTATGTTAACCTTTCTGGACAAACTGCAGCAGCAGTAACCAAAGTAAAACTGAAACTTAGAGTTCCTTTGTCATCTTTCCTCATCTTCAGGTTTTTAAGATACTTGCCAAACTGGGCAGGAAAAATTTCTATCGAACTTACTCCAAGCAAAAATAACTTAGTCATTGCACCAACACAAGACCCATTCACTCTTACAGAAGTAGTGGGAACAAATAAAATGTCATTCGCCGACTTTTGCAAAAACAAAGTTGACTTAGACTTTGGTTTCTCAAACCTCAACACTGAAGTAAACTATTATTTCAATGCTGCTGGAGATGCTTGGGACCCAGTTAAGTTCACATGCGAAAAATTTGAATGCAAGAGAATAGAAAGCAGACTTGCAGTCTATATGTTGGACCCAGATATTTCAAATGCTTTAGCTGCCAAATATATTGCAGTTCCACTTATGTTCCCTATACACCAAATATCTGTCAAAGACTTTGCAGGTGAAGTTGGAAACCAAAGTGCTGACCCAGGTGCAAGAACAGATATTGCTTTAACAACTGCAATGAAACATGCAGATACTATGTTTGTAC